ATTCGCTATGGCTGCGACAAAAGTAAACCTCTCTACCACAATAAGATTTAAACCTCCGAACACTAACTTGACAGTCGCAATTCTTATCTACTCGGCTACTCAGGCGGATAAGGGAAAAGCATGCGCAAAGAGGGGAAAAGAAAGAGAGAACTAAGTTAGTGTAAGTTATCCAGGGTAAAAAAAAAGAATTTTTACCAAGTTATGGCCGAAATTTTTTAATAACGACCAACAGCTTGCAAGATATGATTGCAAGAATGCAGATCTATTCCTGCATATCCCGGACGACCACTTAAACCAAGGTTTTTATTAACGATAATCGGATTTAATATTCAACTTGAGCCATGACTTTGCTAGAGACTTGATTGCAAACCAAATGAGGAAAAGAATGAGCATAAGTGACTGTAGACCAACTTAACTAAGGTTTTTAAAGCCACGGCCAGAAGTGGGAAAAAGAATGAGCTTCAGTGACTGTAGCCAACTTCACAAAGGTTTTCAAAGCCATGACTATGCTAGAGACTTCACGGCAAAACAATTGGGCAAAAGGATGAGCTTAAGTGACTCTAACGTAAGGTTTGCAAAGCCACTACTAAGCTAGAGACTTGATTGCAAAACAAACGAGAAAAATAATAAGCTCTGGTAACTGTAGACCAACTTAGCTAAGGAAAGAAGACTCTTCCTAACGATTTTAGGTTAGGATCGAATGTTTTTATGATTTGTGATGGAAGCATAAACTCTTGATCTGCTTATTAGGCACGAAATTTTATCCCTAAACTAAGGCTTTAAACAAGTGTCTTAAATATCAATTTGCATAAATTCTGTAATGGGGCGGCTTAAATTGTCTTCCATCCTTTATAAATACTTGGCCTTCCGCAGAATACAACAACAAGTTTTTGACGAACATTTCATAACGCCGAACAAAGTACGGTGCTCCGAGTTGGACAATGTGGTTGGATCCGCGAAGAGTCTTTGAGCTAGAGAACTAAGAGCTTGATAAGTGTAATAGGCTTTTCGGGTTGCCTTGTTTAACAGTACAACAACACAGCGAAAATGGTCCAAACTGAAAAAAGAAATAAAGTTGTATCCATTGTTTGATAAAACCGAAAATTCATAAGTGTGATCGACCTCACAAACGACTTGACTGATTGTTCTAGGCTTGAAGGAAGTGATAGGATGTAGTGTTTGACTATATGTTTTCTTTCGGGCAAAAGTAGGAGAGACAGACAGACAGACGGTGCTAAATCGTTCCCTCGATTCTCATTGTGATCGATCTCATAAAAGAATTTACTCAGTGATAGGAAACAGCGTTGGACTAAATGTTTTCTTTCAGGCAAACTTTCGAGGTCGTCATCATGCATACAAAAGTAGGACAGATATATATATTTGATATATATATTTTTATGGCATTTTAATTGCGGTCTCTTGTGTATTACTTTCCTATTAACCCAATAGTTTTTTTACTTACTCACAATGCATTTCACACCTAATCCTATGCATCTGCCGGCATACGTATCTTATATACGCTTTAAAGGTTTTAAAGTAATTAATGAAGTCTTCACTATTAAACAGATTTGATAAACAGTTAAAAGTTACGACAGCTCTTACTTCTTATGTTGTAATATATAGGTAGATATGTTCAAATTTTTAACATACATGACTAAATAAATGAATAGGTATTTTACGTAGAAATAAAATATTCTTTGGCTTTGATTACAGAAATGTTGATATGCCTTATAAGCGTTTTCCCGTCTGTCTTTCCTTATTTTTTTTTGTATTTTTTTTTTTCTTACAGTCGTAAACTATTGCATGTATTACATACATAAGTAGACAAGCAAAGCAATATCTTCAACAGACTTCGTAAGCGCAATAATTAAAACTCTTTTATATGTATGTATGCGCGTTTGTATGAATATGTTTAAGTTTGCATATGCAATAGTTCATATTTCTGGTTTCACTATATTCCATACGTTAGCGTTTTATTCTCCTCAACTCGTAAATTAACACAGGCAGACATTTAGTAGACAACAACAACAATAACAACAACAAAGTATGGCCATATTACTGATGAGACGAAAATTGACTTTTTTTTCTCAAAGCATTGCTTTATGTTATGTTAATAAGTTAGCACGTTTTAATTGTTCATATGTCCGAACGTCACTAATACAGATCATAAAGAATACATGAATATATCTATATAACAGAATATATATATATAACAGCTTATATTTACATTATAATCTTCTTCATTAGATCACAAGGAAATGTCGCCAAGTTTAAGTAGCTTTGTAGACAGATTTCTGTAGGTGTAGGTTTAATTGACATCATTACAACGTGTAGGCCGTACGTATGCATATCATCGGTTTGTATTCATCACGCAACTGATTGAATCTAATGGAATAATTTAAAAGGCTTTACTATGTAATATGAAAGAGAAGACAGTAAGTAAATCATCAAAAAAAGAAAAAAAAAAAAAGAAAGAGGAAAAATAAATATCTTATTATATCTGAAGAGATTATATTTCATAGTATTTTTTAGATGAAACTATAATCAATCAAGCCAAAAAAAATTGCAAGTTTTTACCGACGAACCATTATTGCTTCGATTTGAAATTTCAAAAATTTTAAGCCTCATAAACTTTCAAATTCAATTATATATATCTACTTTTGCACCCAAACAAGCGCTCATTTTGAACAAATATTTTATTCGAATATTTTCCTCTCCAAGTCAATCGATTACTTAAAGAAAAACTAACCCTCTCTTTAGTCAGTGTAATGAGTAAGAGTAACACTACTTGGAAATTGGAGAAAACGCTTGGGATATGCTTTCGCCTGTTTCTTCTATGGATTACCACTTACTTTAATCAATAGGTAATTGTCTCTCTGACCAAAAGCACCATGCCCAAAAGTATAGATGTTGTGAAAGCCAAAAAATAGATCAAGATGATCCAGATTTGGCGCAATTAATTTTTTTATGTTAAATCACTACCATGATATAATTGTCATCATGAAGTGTTGAAAATTGTACCTTCTTGTCGCATGAGCTTCAGTTTACGTTATATGAGAGAAGTCGAAAAATTGCTTCAGCTGGTTAGCAAAGTTCTCATACCAATTTAGAATGACGAAACACTGGTACTTAGCCACTTTTGCCGAGAAATTTTGAAAATTACAATTTTTTTCACATATAAGGATTTTTTAGATAAGGGCGTTATATGTGCAGTCGTCGAAAAAGTGCATCGATGCGATCCATTTTCAATAACGCTACTGATCAAAACACGTCACTGTAACAAATTTCAACCACATATCTCAAGAATTGCTTACCTGTAACTTAAAAACACAAATTGATCAGACGGACAGACAGACTTAGATCAATTCAGATTGCGATTCTGAATCGATCGATATAGTAAAAAATGGGTCTGTCTTAAGCTTTTCTACGTCTTAGAAACATCCGCATTAACCTAGTACACCGTGTACTTAGTACTCCGTGCCACAAGTGGTGTAAGGTATAGACAGAGATGGAGATAAGCGGAGAATACTGAAACGATTTTATCCGATCTGGTACCTTTCATCGGAAAATTTCTTTAAATTAATGCTTACTCTCTCCTAACCCAAATTCCGTATATTAAGAAAAGAAAAATTGAAACGCGTCCATGAACAGCTAAGGGATGTATATATAGTTGAACTGCTTCTGACAACAAACTCTGCCATTAGCAACGGAAAGATTATATTACGTTACAGTTTATTTTTCTTCAGTCCGTACAGGTTAATATTTTAACTTTATTATACACTTACCTTCCTGTTTGCTCTCTACATAATCTGTCCTTTTTTAACTCGGCTGTCATTCTAAGGAAACTAACAGCGAAAGTAGAAATAATATGATTTCCTTATTTCATTCATAACTTGTACGCGTTTTTTTCCCTCGCTCAACATGCTTTTCTCTTTTATTATTCTCTCCACCATATACCAAATTAAAGTTTGGTTTTTATATATATATATATGGTTTTGACGTTTAAGTTCATGTTTCACTTTTATGTTTTATTCTTATATTTATATAACATAAATATAGCCGTGCTATTGTATGGTGCTCTTTATACACTACACCGCTTGTGGTACAAAGTACATTAAGTTTGTGCAGGCGTGTGTAACACCCGGAAAGTAGAAGAAGCTAAACCCATCTCTTATTATACTGATCGATTCGGAATCATTTTCTAAATCTATCTAAGCTGTCTGTCCGTCTGCCCGCCTTTCTGCCTGTCTGTCTTGTTTTCTTGTGGACTTTAGATAGATCCACCTTTTATTGTAACGATTTAAACTTTTCTGCCCGTCTGTCTACCTGCCTGTCTGCCTTGTTTTCTTGTGGACTTTAGATAGATCCATCTTTTATTATAACGATCTAAGCTTACCTGCCCGTCTGTCTGCTCGTATGTCTTGCTTTTCTGTGGACTTGAAATAGACCCACCTTTTATTATAGCGATCTAAGTAAGCCCGTGCGTTTATCTGTCTGCCTGACCTGTTTTTTTGTGGGCCTGAGATAGATCCATCTTTTATTATAACGATCTAAGCTTGTCTGTCCGTCTGTCCGTTTCTGTTGAACCTGAGGTAGATTCGCCTTTTATTATAACAATGTAAGCTTGTCTGCCCGTCTATCTGTCCGTCTTGTTTTCTCGTGGACTTGAGACAAACCTACCTTTTATTGTAACGGTCTAAGCTTACCTGCCCGTCTGTCTTGTTTTCTTGAGTGTTCAGCCTACGGGGCGCAATCTTTGAGATATTTTCATAAAATATAGTAGATCGACTTCTTTTGCCCCAAGTATGACCGCTGATCAAAACGGTTCGAGTCTGACCGCTTTTCGAATTTTTTCCCATATAAAGCCATTTATTGAAAAGTCATAAGTCAAATATGAACAACCTTATTAAACGAAGTGGTGCAGAGTATTTAGTAGTGCTATAGTGTTCTCATTTGTTACTTTTCTAATGTAATGCATTTTCATTAATTTATTTATACAGAGTCCACGCAACATCAACAGAAGCCTACTAATATAAAGAAACAATCAACTGCTGGACAATCGCTGAACATATATAATGGATTTGGTTTAAAAATAAATAATTTTTAAAAAGCATAATAAACAGAACAAAAAAGAAAAAAAAAAAAAAAAATTAACCCTTAAATAAACCACTAACTGTGATAAACAATTAGCGCTATAGATATATGCATAAATGAAGACATATATACGTATATACTTATATATATATATATGTATGTATATATATATATATATATAAATTAAATGTATGTAGAAAAACAAATGAAAAGCAAACAAAGCTATAATGCATCTAAAGAGTTTACGTAAATTAGCATTATTTGCTATCATAAGCATTGCGTTTACGCTTAATTTCATACACACGAACGTACAGACAGTAGCTGCCAAGGAAAGAATAAATTTGAATCATACGCCGAAATATAATAGCAACGATTTATGGAGAGAGAAAAGAGATCAACAACAAGAGTCAAAGTCAATTTATCGACACAAAGACGAACGTCATAGAGCACAACTGCGACCACAGCAGCCACAGCAAACAGGTCAACAAACATCCAAGCCAAGCTATCATCGAGAAAAGCAACAAAAGCAGCAACTGCTACATGATCATCGGCAACGTTTACATACATTGGGAAAGCAGAAAATTAACGTTGCAACGGATACGACGACGACGACGACGATGAAGACGACAACGATGAATGGTGGCGCTAACGTTGCTAGTCAATCATTTCGAAGAATATCGCGCGATTCGAATGCGTACAGTGTTCGGAAACCGAATATTATTTTAATTTTAACGGATGACCAGGACGCCGAGTTGGGATCTTTAAATTTCATGCCGCGTACATTGCGCATCCTAAGAGATGGTGGTGCAGAATTTCGTCACGCTTACACCACCACACCCATGTGCTGTCCAGCGCGTTCATCTTTATTAACCGGCATGTACGTACACAATCACATGGTATTCACGAATAACGACAACTGTTCGAGCCCTCAATGGCAAGCCACGCACGAGACTAGATCTTTTGCCACCTATCTATCAAATGCCGGCTATCGAACTGGTTACTTTGGCAAATACCTGAATAAATATAATGGTTCCTATATACCGCCCGGTTGGCGTGAGTGGGGCGGTTTAATCATGAACTCCAAATATTACAATTACAGCATTAATATGAACGGTCAGAAAATTAAGCACGGTTTCGATTACAATAAGGTATAGAGTAAGTCTTCATTTTTGCCTTAATAATGCTTTCCTTTTTTTTTTTTTTTGTTTCTTTCCATTGCAAGGACTACTATCCCGATCTAATAGCTAACGATTCGATAGCATTTTTACGTTCTTCCAAACAACAAAACCAAAGAAAACCTGTGATGCTGACAATGAGTTTTCCTGCGCCTCATGGTCCCGAGGACTCGGCCCCGCAATATAATCATTTATTTTTTAATGTAACCACTCATCAGTAAGTTTTACACCAAAAAGAAAAAACAAGTAGGATTCGTAATCGAATCTTTTATATCCATCATCGTTATCCTAAAAAAAAAACAAAAAAAAAAAAATAAAAGAACTAAATATCATACTCTATAACATGGAGTGGACGCAGCTGTTTTTTTCTATTTTCAAAGTAAAAGGTCTTGCCCACGTGGGCATTTGTAGGTGTATCCTTGAAGAAGTTTAAGTCTTTTGCAAATTTATTGACGATATCTTCACTTTCGTTAACGGGAGACAGATGGACAGACAAATACACCGACGCCTTTAGGTGCATTTCAAATTCGAAACTGGCCAAGAATTTACGTACTTTATGGGGTTTTTAAAGATTGCTTTTGCCCCTTGGAAAGGTTTTGAAAAAAAAAAAATTAAAAGTTAATATGCTATAATATTGGATAGGCGTAGTAAATTTTTCCCATTTTTGTACAGGTGCTACAACATTACCCACATAATAAACTTTCAAATTTTTGTACACTTATGTACTCTAGTTTATGAGTAATGAAGGAAAAACCAATTTTGTATTACTTTCGAAAAGCAGAGATCTTCTCATTTTACGTAGTACTGTAAGTGTATCCTTCCACCGATTTGGCCCAACATGCGTACAAGAGCTTCCAAAGTTTCTGCCGAATTTGAACTGGATAGGTCCATTTTTGCGGCCAGGAGAATTGACATCTTACAGACAGACAGGCGGACGGATGGACATGTTTAAATCGACTTAAAATTTGATACTAATCAAGAATATATATATACTTTGTGGGGTCTCTGATGATCTCCTTCATCCTTCGGTGATGGGTATAATCCATAATATTTTTATTTAAAATATTTTCGGATCTGTTTTCTTTATTTTTTTTTTGCAGCACACCTTCTTATAATTTGGCTCCGAATCCGGATAAGCAATGGATTTTAAGAGTGACTCAACCGATGGAACCCGTGCATAAACGTTTCACCGACTTACTTATGACAAAACGTTTGCAAACACTTCAAAGCGTAGACGTAGCCGTCGAAAGAGTTTATAATGAATTGAAGACTCTCGGCGAAATAGATAATACATATTTGATATACACATCCGATCACGGTTATCATTTGGGTCAATTCGGCCTGATAAAGGGTAAAAGTTTCCCTTTCGAATTTGATGTAAGAGTACCATTTTTAATGCGTGGTCCTGGTATACAGCCTTCTAGAGTGTAAGTAAAGTTGGAATTTTCTTTCCATACATACAACTAATAATAATTAAAAATCTGTTTAGGGTAGAAGAAATTGTTTTGAATGTGGATTTAGCTCCCACATTTTTGGATTTGGGTGGTGTGCCCGCTCCTGCGCATATGGATGGTCGCAGTATTCTACCGTTATTATTCAATAAACATAGAAACATACGCGATTCTTGGCCGGATACATTCTTAATTGAAAGTTCCGGACGCCGTGAAACACCCGAACAAATAGCCGAATCGAGAGCCAGATTACAAATAGAAAAATTTAATATGAAATTGGCGAATAGCACTTTCGTCGAGGATCTAATAATGATGAACGGGGCAACAGCAGCATCCCCTACAGACATTTATTCAGATGTTATAGATTTGGAATCACGCGAAGAAGAGCAATTCGCTGAAGTTGAAAAAGGTATAAACCAAAATATCATTCGGAGTAAACAGTTGCCTCGGGATCGATGAATATTTTTTTTTTGTTTTTTTGCTTCTAAAAAATAAAGGCTTTATTCGGTTTAGACAGTTCACAAAGATGAAAATTTTTATTGTTTGTTTGCGATTCCAAATAGTTACACCTTACCTAAATACCTATTTTCGACGCAGGTTGGCATACTACTTAAGCCAAATATTTGCAACGCATGGAAACATTCGTTGAAGAGTTCAGTAAATACATATTTTATTGGCTACAGTCAATATCGAAATCGATTCTGCTATGTCTCTCCGTCTGTCCTTCAATTACCATAAAGATTTTAGCAAATAGATAATACCACTTTTTATTATACTGATCGGTGGGTGGATCTTCGAAGATTCATTATTGTTGTTGCATTTTTTTTGTAGATGCGGATATTGAAGACGACTTTGATGATGATGAGATCAAAGTCAATCAAGATGATGATTTATATACATCGACTGATGTTGTCGATGATCATGAGACGGAGCCCACCGATGAAGAGATACACCAACAAGATCAATTCGATAACAATTTGCCACCCACGCGGTATATAACAAAAATGATGCGTTTAAATTCCGAATGCTCAGATCCGACACTTCTTGAAAATTGCCGTCCCGGGCAAAAATGGAAATGCATTAATGAAAACGGACGTTGGCGTAAACATAAATGTAAATTTCATGTAAGATTACACTTTAACCTAACTTTGACTTACCCTTAAATTGCATTACTGTTCGATTCACTTGTTATTTAGTTGCAACTACAGCATCATTTGGAGGAAATAACGAAACTGCCAAATCCTCAGACAAAACGTAATTGTGCCTGCTTCACACCGGACGGTGTTGTGTATACAAAAATAAGATCTGAAAATTATGTAAGAGATCAACAAAGAATTAGAAAACGGTAAGAAAGAAATTTTTATTATTATAAAAAATGTTTTTTTTATTTTGACCATATTTTAGAACACAAAGTTTCACTAAGCGCGCTAGAAGACAGAAACGTGATACGGAGGTAAGAGAAGAACTCTATCATACCGAGTTACCACAAGAAATGGAAGATCTATTGGATTTGAATAAGAATTTGGATATCATTGAAAGACATTTAAGTCTGGCTTCTGAAAGCCGGCATCCAAGAATAAAACGAGAATTGACTTCACAATTATTTGATAATCCTACGCTATTCGTTGGGGATGATAATAAAAAGAATTCTTCTTCAAATGAAGCGATATCCAAAGTGATACAAGAAATCCAAGATACTTTGGAAACATTAGAATTGAAATTTGTCGAACATGATGATGACATGGCGAACAATACGACAAAAAGTTTTACGAAAATGACGACAGCCGGTTTTGTGAGAGGTGGTAAATTTCCCAAAGTTGGTGGACGCGTGGGAACACGTTGTTTTATTGAATCTCAAACGGGCAAAGTGAACTGCTCAGATGTAATTTATGATGATGAGAAAACCTGGCGAAAGTCGCGCAGTCAAATCGATATGCTTATCAAAGTCTTGAAGGATAAAATAACGCATTTAAAGGATATTAAAAAGCAATTAAGAGAAAGTAAACAACAACAATTGCAAGAACGCTATTGGAATAATGAATTTATTACTGCATCGAGCGGTAGCAATGGCGATGCTTTTAAATTTAATTTAAATAACGATTATATAAATCATCGTCAAAAAGGTCGCAGAAGAGGCTACAATTCCAATTCGAACGGTTATCATCAATCGCATTATCATTCTCTGCACAATCGTAGACATCATGTTTACGGTGGAAATAATGGAAATGGAAATGGCAATGGAAATGGACGTCGTTTCATCAACTTCACTGAATCAAATCCTTATTACAATGCAAACGTTACGGAACTTACAAGCTTAACCCCGTCGAAAAGTGAAATAACGAAACACGAAAAATATATTCCAAGAAATGAGTCTCATGTGCCAAATAATCCAATAGAAGAAGGGAGAAATCTATTAAGGCAGCATTCAGATGTAGATAGTACGGGGAAAGAGTCTTTAAATAAATCCCTAATAGAACACAAGCCTAGCATTAATTCCTCCTCAAACGAAGGTATACTCCCTTCACATTTACCGTTTCTTTGTCTTATCCTTGTTCTTATAGACTTTTTGGTTTTTTAAAAGGTATTCCAATTATGGGCGAAAATATTATTAAATATGAAAATAATAGCAATCGTGGGCAAAAGGAAGTGATCAGAGAGACGTATCATAATAAAAGGCCACTAGCGTATGATCCGTTCGAACAGCAGAAGCAACAATTTTTGGGACCTGCTGAATGTTATTGCGAGCATGAGCCAGAAACGTAACAGAAATTTATTTATTTATTTATTATACCCGCTACTGAAGGATGGAGTGGAGAGGGGAGGGGAGAGGGGAACGCCTACAAGGAAGCTTCAGAGACCTTATAAAGTTTATATATTCGTGATCAGCACGAAATTCTGAATTGATTAAGCCACGTCTGCCATGTCTGCACGTCTGTGTGTCTCTATCTGCCTCGTGGTTTGCACACAGATTGGTATCATCTTAAATGGCCTAATTTTCAATATATCTTGATGACAATTCGATCATAATTAAGAAATTTTGAATTGATTGAAAGCTATGTCTGTCCGTCGGTTTGTATGTTGTTGGCAATCTCCTGATCGCAGAAATGAAGATATTGACCATAAATTTGATAGGAACGTTGGAAGTAATTGCACGCAGGTTGATATAGAATAGGGCCGGGATATAGAAAGGGCCTCCGTTTTTCTTAACAAAAATTGATGCGTTTTTGCTCGTTACTCAGAAATTATGCATTTATTTACCCTAGGAAGCACTCTACTCCTTACGCGCGAAAATGCAACACATTCGCCCTGCCCACACAAAGTTACGAACAATTTAATTTAATTTTTTTCGGTTTTTTGAGGTTTCATGCTTGTTTTTGTCATAAGGCAAACAAGACGGAATGTTGAAAACTATTTTGTACATTCCTCAAATAGAAGATATATCGTCTGTTTAAAAAAGGGTCAATTCTAGAATTTAATACGGCAGACACCACGACCTGGTGGACTCATTTTTTCTTAATAGTACCAGCGGTATGGGTATCAAGTGAAAGAACTTGGCGGGTAGAATGCAAACAGCATAGTGGTGGGTATGCGAGATTCGGCCCCCCCCGGGTATAACTTTTTTAACTTTTTCTTTTGAATTATATGACTTAGACCTGTTATCTAATACTAACTACACACCAGTAATGTGATTAAGATTTTTAAACTCACAGTCTTAAGAATTTTTGGTTAGATTGAATTATTTGATGATTTCGTACTTTTTTTAAGTTTTTGGTTTTTTGATTTATACATAATTTTTGTACTTATTAGTGACGAAATGAATTTTTTTTTAGGTTGAGTTATATGCCGAAGTTGGTTGTGTTCCCGCCAACGTTAGCATGAAAACTGATTTATTGATCCCAAAGATAGAAATTCTTGGACTAAAGCAAGCTAATTATTAGCAAAACGTTTATTCTCTTTTGACTTTCAGCGATATCGATTCGAAAGAAATTGCTCGTGAAACTCGTCGAAGGATCAAAGAGGAACGTCAACGTCGAAAAGAACGGAAACGTATTAAAAAAGCCCGTTTGGAAAAGGAATGCCTATCCGAGAAAATGAATTGTTTTTCCCATGACAATAGTCATTGGCGCACTGCCCCTTTATGGAATGATAAACCATTTTGCTTTTGCATGAATGCGAACAATAATACTTACTCGTGTATCAGAACTATAAATTCGACCCATAATTATTTGTATTGTGAGTTCACTACCGGATTAATAACGTATTATGACTTGCAAATAGGTAAAGTTTTCCTCACTGAAAAATATAAAAATAATTTCTTAACACCATTGCTTCATTTAGATCCTTTTGAGACAACAAATCGCGCTTCATCTTTAACTGCACCGCAAAAGGCTTCAATGCACGACGTTTTGGAAAAACTGAAAAACTGTAAAGGCAGCAATTGCACGTTGCGGAAACAAGAACCACCTGCCAAAACTGCCAATGCATTAAACAATATTGCAAGAGATATTAAATGGAAACCTCATGGTAAGAAATATTAAAATACTAAACTCAACATGGCCCAATCCAAATATAATGTGAAAATTTTTTAATTTCTTTTAGAGAAGCATTTTTTTAATCTTCTGTGTTGAGTCAATTTTTTTCTTAAAAAAATTGCTTTTGAATATTAAATACCTTTGCCATTTCGCCTCCAAGGGGGCTACGGCATAGCCAAGTGATTAGGAAGCACGACTATCAAGTCGATATATTCGGTTTTAGTCCTCCCTGCCGTAAATTGTACTTTAATTACAAATGGTATATGGATGCTGGTGTGCAGCTGTAGGGAATTCCTTTTAGGTAAAGGCATAACCGTTTGCCGACCGGATGTACACCTCTTAGACTGGGACCACTTGCTGTCCCTCCGTCTTTCTTTCCGTACTTCTTTCTTCTTTCCATCACCGCTCTATCCGTATGAGGGACATTCCCCAAGGGCCTGACCATTAAAAAAAAAAAAAAAAATCCGACTTACACTTTTCTTAAAAGAGATCTCCTATTTGAAACGCTTTTAGATTGATTGCCTTTGGCTTTGTTTTATCTATTGTTGAAAAACGTTTAATGTTAAAGAAGTAGGAAGACAGAGTGAGGTTAGAATTACGCTTGACAACTCTTGTTCGAAATATTAGCAAAAGTCTCTTCTTAAAACTTCCATGAGATTTGAGTTTCTCCAGCAAACTTCGTAGCAATAATTAGTGACTTCTGAAGCACAAAGTTTCTAAATTTGGCCAATGAAGACCGACAGCTAGCGCAAGTCTGCTTTCCATCGATATTGTTTCTCAGTTAATCCGCCAACGTAAATGACTTCTATAGACATCCATTGCGTGTGCTTGCGGAGGATGTCTATAGCAATCCCATATTTTTTATATTGTAGAACGAAAAAAAAAAAGTGTGTTTTTGGAAACATTCACTGATTTTCGAATGAATGTCAACGTGTTAAATTGCTTAGAAAAAGTTAAACCGTGGAAAGCTAAGCAACTTGCTCCTCTTTCGAGAGTTTAAAATAGCTCTTACACCCCAATATCAAACTAACATAAGAGTTAAGTTAAATTTATATAAGCTTTAATATATACTACTCTGGACAAAACGTAGACTGTATTTTTTTAAAAATCCGCGCTGTGATATCGAGGTGAATTTTTTTTTTGGTAGCTTGGTTTGATAAACTTCATCAGATCTGCCATTTGAGTAGGTAATAGTAACCAATTTTTTTTTTTTTTTTTGGTTTATTTTGGTCAAACCATCCTAGTGCCAACGATTTTGAAAATGGAAAAATTTTTTGAAAATAAATTTGTATTAAATTTTGTTAAGAAAATACAATCAAATGAATTGAAAATGTTACGGTGAAGGGTATTTATTGAGCTTACAAGCTTTTAAGTGGTGCAAATCATTTCACGGAGTTCGTGACGTAGTCGAAGACGAACCTCGTTCAGGAAGATCATCAAACTTAACTACTGATGAAAACTGAAAAGCTGATGAAAAATCAATGAGCTTACATTTGTCAACTATCAGTTTTGAGGATGATTTGGGTTTGTTTTGTGTGTCTTCCCGTCTTCTTCCCAAAGTTTTTAACTCGTTTGAAAAACAAGACAGGATCAACAGAAAGGTTTTCTATGAGTGATCATGATGTGAAATGTATAATTGCTGGCCATGAAATTTGAGTTTACGTGTAAGACCTGGAAAAAGCTTAACAGTGAATAGCGTTCTGAAGGTGAACCAAAAAAAAAGCCGTTGACAAGGAGGTACTCAAAAAAAAAAAAAGAGAAAAAACCTAACAGGGCACGTGCCTCAATATTTCTATTAGCTGTTTTCAGGAGTAATATCAATATACCAAAACAGCTTACTCATCGATATCATGGGGCAGGTATTTAAAAAAAAGTACAACCGTGGTTTCAAACCTCAAGTGCGGTATAGCCTTAGATGCTAGTGCTTTAAGATTTTAATTTTAGAATTTAATTCTCTGACGAAATTAATCATAATAATAAGAAGAATAAAAAATGCGGTCTCATTACTTTTTGCCCACAGTAATATTATAATGCTTGCTTCTTCATATCCAAATTATTCAGTTCTTTCATTGTCTAAATATTTTATATTTATTTACAAAATTGTTTTAGAATCGACATCATTAGGCAACACGATGACGTCGCCATCAAATGTTATTATCACGAATCAAATGGATATTGATGGGACATTGGCGAAGAGAAGAAAAATTTCAAAGTATATCAATATTTTGACTCTTAATTAAAATAGAAACAAATTTTAAACAATTCCTTTCGCATTTCGTGCATTTTCAGTCGTTGGTCTAATACAAATAGCATAAGAAAGAAACCTTTGAAGCATCATCATCAACATCATCATTTCAATCCACATCATCCGCACTATAGCCGAACACATCCGCAACATATAAGGCCGTCAGCATTTATTAATCGGCATCAGAATGGCGTTATGATGATGACGAATCAACGTAACTACAATTTACGTAGAAATCGTTTTCATTCGGCCGAAATCAATCAACGACTTCAACATCACTTAACTTCTGCTATTTTAACGTCTAATAACCGCACAAAAGAAAACGAGAATAAATTTGCGAATAATAAAACTAAAATCATTAAACCAATTATTGAAAATGGAACGGTATCATCGTCTACATCGACAACAACAACAACGAAACCAGTAGCTAACGGATCACTTATTGAGCGAAAAAAGGAAGAGCATAGCCGTCAGCAAAGCGAACTTTTTGAATCCATCAAGCCAAATACATAGTTATTATCGAAAGAGACTGAAAATGACAAGTAAGATAAACAAAAAAAAAAAAAAACAAAAAGAAGCAAAACCTATAGATGGAAACAAACGAGAACTGATTATAAAGGAAAAATAGGGCGAAATATAAGAAAGAAAATCCCGCTAATAAGAGAAAAAGCAAAAAAGTGATAAACGAAAAACGAAAAACGAAAAAAAAAACAAAAAAAAAGTTATAAACACTAGAGTTTGGCTCATTTAAAAAAAAAAAAAAATTGCTCTCAATTACTACTACTAGGACATATTCATAAATTCGCTCAATGATGTGAATGCTCTCTAACATATCCCGCTAGCTGCATATCCCCGTTTTCAAGTAGGAAAAAACACTAAAGTTATCTCAGCTTTTTTTCTTTAGAAACTAGATAACCCATAAGATTCGATCAAAAAATAACGAGAATTTCGAAATTACTCGTCTTATATCTTAACCTATCTATAAAAACCTATAAAACTCTTAATTAGTATTTGAGGAGCTAATGAGTAAGTTCTACTTTACCTTATCGGGCGATTTCTTTCTTTTTTTTTTTTTTTTTGATGATATCTTGCGTTTGTATTTAGTCCGAGAAAACGTAAAAAAGTCGGAGGAAAGCTTTTTGATCACTATTAAGATTTTATTAATGATATAAATAATTGTAGAAGGATCAAGAACATGTTAATGTTATAGGAATAAGGTTTCCTAAGGAAAGAATGGCCGTTAGAGAAGTCACAGATGAAACTAAGAACATCTTGCGAAATAATTTGCACTGATCTATTGAACAAGAAACTGATGCTCACAATATTTATGACAAAATTATTGAATTTCTCAAAACTTTTGAGCGAAATCCAAGATAGGGTTGGATTTTACGTATTTTTATACTCCACACCAATTATGGTACAGAGCATATTAAATTAGTGCGGTAATATGTAACACGGGGAAGGGCTTACGATAGATTTATATTTTATTATATTGATCGATTCAGAGTAATAATCTGAATTGATCTAAGCCTGTCTATGCGTCTGATGTCTGTCCATGTACATTTTGTGTTCAAGCTGCAGGTCGCAATTTTTGAGATATTGAAATGGAATTTGGTACAGTGGTGTATTTTAACCCAAGGACGAATGCTATTGAAAATAGTTCGCCTCCACTCACTTTTGCTCATAAAAGACCCTACCCTGAAAAGTCGTCGTAAGAAAAATATTGTAATTTTCAAAATTTCGCGGCAAAAGCGGTTAAGTAGCAATATGTCGGCATCTTAAATTGGTGTGAAAACTTTCGACTGACTGGGACAATTTTTAAAACTTGTTCCATATAACGAAAACTGAAGGTATATTTTTTAATGCTTTATGGTGAAAATTATTATAGTATAAAAAAATTAAATATACCAAATTTGGACCATCTCGACCTATTTTTTAGATCCTACCCTAATAAGACAAAAAAGTCTAACTTTTAATATGTGTTGATGAAACTTGGCCAATAAGAATAATCCCATACAAAACTTGGAACATCCATGTTTACGTTTGAAACATGCCCTATGTAAGGATTAAACATTAGGTTGCGTTTTGAGCCCGCTCCACCCTAAACATGCACCTGCAAAATATGTCTTTCTTGTGTTCAATAATAAAAATAAGAATTCTGTTGGAAAATATAATGTAGGATGTTTAACGATCGGTCTCGCCCGACCATAATATTCTCATTTATTTAAATATAAATTTGTATGTTTTTTTTTGACTTCCGATGTCGCAAGACCAATTCACTGATCAGATCAAAAAATTCGATCGACTTGCAAATGGCTTTTGGTCACTTCTTCCGTCTTGAAGAGATAAAGATTGATATAGAAATTCTTGTTTGCTTTTTGATCGAATCGCGTATAAAAGAAAAAGAGAACAATACCACGACAACTAATACACTATTACAATTATTACAAATTAACGTTACAACTAAGGTACCTAAAGTTTTAATACTAATAATAATAATAATGCTTGAATGTTGAAAATAGCTTTTAAAACTATTTAAGTTCTTCTTCATTTAAAAGTTAATTTAAAAAAAAAAAAAATAGAAAAAACAAACATAAATGAATGAAAATTAATGTCACACTTATTTAGGCTTATATATATATATATATATATATATATATTCTTTGTGTTTGAAATGAGACTGTTAAGTTAATAATAATAAGAGCAACTATAATCGTATATACATTTCAAATTTTTAGTACATTTCTTTAGAAAAATTAAAACCAAAAAGTATCTTAATTTTATTATCTATAACATGATGTCAATTTCGCCAAGCATTTAAATAAGTTTTTTATATATGTAATATATATATGTAATTATCGTTTTTACATGAGCGATGGGAATGAGAAATGCTATACGCACTAAGCCATTAAAAACGAATTAAATAATTTTCGTTAAAGTTTATGCATAAATCGGATTTGGAATTTCAATAAAAATTCTTCACAGTTTATTTTCGAATAATGCAGTTGTGAAATATATGGGAAATTTAAAATTAAGTGAAAGCTGAAGCTTATGTTAAGATTCGAAGAAAATGTAGATCTGGGAACGTGGCCTACTTGGTACACCCTGAATAGGAAGGAACAAACGAAAGAAAGAGATATACAGAGACAGTGAGAAAGAAAACAAAAAGAGAGCGAGAGAGAGGGGGAGAAAGAGAGGGATATATATATAAATATGTACAGGGAGCGAGAGGGAAAGATGAAGATCGAGAGAGAGAGGATCGAAAGAGGAAGCTAGGGAGAGGGAGGAATATAGATAGGGACAGGAAAAGAGAGATTGAGAGGGGGAAAGAGGGAGAGACAGTGAGGGAAAGATTATGTTAGGGATAGAGGAAAAAATAGGGAGAGGAAGCGAGGGAGAGAGAGAGGGACAGCCAGAGATAGATACAGAGCGGGTGTAAAATCTACAAAGAGATGTGCATCCTGTTTGGAAAAAACAGTTGTAAACGAAAATATTCGTTAGAAGAGCGAAATAATAAGATTTTGTTACGAAAATTTTCATCATCACTATACGCCTTAGATCATTTGTTAGAAGATCATTTGGTCATTATGATCAGTGCTTTAATAATATTTAAATGGCACTTATAATAATCGAATAGAAAGGAGCCATTTTCCACCCGAACCAGTTTACTATAAAATGCTCTTTTCCGATAATTAATACTATGCGCGAAACTTCCGAATCCCTGTGTTACCTTACGAAACTTTAGATTGGAAGCTTAACGGTCGCCACTTATCAAGAAGTTTGCGAACTCTCTCACTGTAGAAACTTTCTGGTTCCGAGGTGAAGTAGTCATCGATCCCATGCGCCATTTTCAATTTTGCAGAATCGTTGCTCTGTAAAATATGATTGCATCGATCTGAATTGGCGATAATCAGGAGGAGAATTTTCTAGCTCAAGTCGACGACCACTTCCTGGGTTGCTTTTACTGGTGACGGATGGACAACTACGAATTTCATAATTTGTAAGAGTAAACTTTTTGGCCCAAGCTCACAAACCACTTTCCAACTATTTCTTAAGTTGCTGCACTGTCACTCCAAGTCAATTTAATCATTCCCATAGTTTCATCTGCATTTTTGTGCGCTTTAATCCTTTTGACCATTCAACCGTTTCGGTCTTTCTAGCGATGACGTATCTACTTGCCAAACTGTATAAGGCGATCCAACGAGGACGGATGGCCGGAGCAGGACGTATATATTCGTCATGCATACTTAACTGGTTAGAAAGAGACAATTGACCGGTATATAAATTGAAATTGAATGCATTATGCTAAGCAATTTCAGCGAAAAGAATTCATTAACACACCTAACAGATATGTGTCGAGATCAGTGACATTTTGATTTTCAAGTCTACTCGATATCCACTAAATATTTATGCATAGACGCAAGATATTTTAGCGCAATTAATTTTTTTAATTTTTTTTTTTTTTTTCATGTTTTCGCTTATAAAGAAAGAATCGGTTCACATGTGTTAAACATTTTTGCGAAACTTTTGAAAGACTTAACTTGTTCAAAGTCACTGACTCTTAGGTATTTATTTATATTCGTACCTTTTTGAACTATTCTTCGCTAAGTCATAACAAGTTGTTGAACAGCAATTTGTTTATATAATTAGTAGCTTCACGATTGTAAATTTGGTGTTTCTCTCGCTTTCCGATCAGTGCATCTCTCATAAATGTGCTCATTACGTTATAAAGAGTTTCATTAAATGAAAACATTTTTTTTTTATTTTCTTGCCATTTGAAAAATAATTTTATAAGTAAATCGATCCAAGTATATATTTACATATATATATTTTTGTAATATTTTGAAAAAATTTATTTAACAATTTTTTAGTGAGAACAATGCACGAGCTCGGCTCGAGTTTATTAGCTTGTAAGCATATGTGCAACTCGAATAAAGTTCGTGGCGAATTGTTGACTATTTAATTGTACCCATCACCGAACAATGAGGGATATGTACATTTTGTCAAAACGCTTGCAACGCTCAGAAGAAGTCTCCAGAGATTCCACAAAATTGGTATATAAAGCATCAGCATCAAATTCCGAATCGATTTAAACATGTCCGTCTGTTCGTCTGTAGTAAACATTCTCCTCGACGTAAAGATGAAGCTATCGTCTTCAAATTTGGCAGAATCATTGGTAGTTCCTGAACGCACATTGGTTTGGGCGAAATCGGTTGAAGGACACGCCTACGGTATACCTTTGTTCAAAAGGTATAGAAAACTACCGTAGATAAATCTATGAAAATTTGAGCCTCTTATCTAAGGGTGATGTTCCACTACTTGTACATTTAATAGAAGGACTAACCGCGCCTATTCCATATTACGGTGTGTCAGAATTTAGTTTTTTTTTTTCAAACCCTTTTTAAGGCGCAGAAATAATCTTCAAAAAATTCATAAATTCTTGGCCAATTTTAAATTTTGAATGCACCTAAATATGTCCGTCCATCTGCCTACAAAACCATATAGTATTTGTGGCAAATATTTTTCTGCTAGCACAAATGAAGACAAATTTGCAAAGTAGCCAAATAAATCAAGAACACGCCTACGACGACCACACATCTATACAATCAATCTGGGAAGACCTTTGCTCTCCGTCTCTTTTCCTCGTTGATCATAAACTAAAACAGATACGCGATATAAATTTCCACAAAATTATTCGACAAAAATAGAAAAAATTAGCCACGCCCATGCAATATTAAGCAGTATGCAAAGTTATATTTTTGCTTTCTTTCAAACTTTTAGCGAATAACGATGATGGGTACAAAAGATTCAATCGTAACCGAATAAAATTTTCTTACTTGTTTTTTTTTTTTATTTTATTTATTTAATTTATTTTTAAAAGAAGATAACATACAAATTTGTTTTTTTTTCCTGTCTAAATGTGTAAATGAAAGTATTTTAAATTTTAATATTTTTCTTTTTCTTTTTTCTTAATAGAGCATCTATTTATGAAAAAATAAAAACTTTTGTAATAATAAAAAGCATATATTCGCCTAGATATATATTAACAATTGCTGGATTGTAAGTCTCGATTTAGTTTTATAGAAAATGCATTTTTTTTCTTTTTTTTGGTAATTTATTTAAAGAAAAGTATAACTAAAATGTTATTTACAAAAAAATTGAAAGCCATGTTGTTATAGAGTTTTATTAAGAGCAAACAAATTTTTTTAATACATAAAATTAACTGCGATGAATATAATGAATGATAAAAGAACAAAAAAAATAAAAAAAACAGTGGATTTAATAAATTAAAAATGAAATAATGAGGAAAGCATAGTTTTGATGTTGAGTCGTGCAATTCTGAAATTTTGAAAATTACAATATTTTTCCATACAAGAACGTTTCAGAATAGGGCGTTACATGGGGATGGGTCAAAAAAGTGGCCCGATCCGAACCATTTTCCATAGAGTTTTTATTTGGGCGAAGACACGTCACGGTACCAAATTTCATCAAAATATCTCAAGATTTGCTCCCTATAGCTTGAATATAAAATATACATGGACAGACATAAGATGGACAGACGAACGGACAGGCTTAGGTTATTTCACATAATGATTCTGAATCGACTGGTATACTAAAAGATGGGTTTATCTTAATACTTTCTGCGTGTTACATACGTCCGCATTAACTTAATATGCTCTCCACCACAAGTAGTGTAGGCTATAATAATTGATTATTTTTAATTGTAATAACAGATCAAAGTGGCAATAGTTCCTGTTATAAAGCTTATATTATAAATTAAACGCATTAAACAGTAGATAATTCATGCGGCAATTAAAGAGTCTCAAAGGTATATAATGTCGTAAAGAACGATTCGTTACATCGATTGAAGTCGACAATGTTTAATACTTAAGAAGAAGAAACTCAGTACTGAATGAATTTAAAAATAAAAATTCGCCTCGATCATTTCCCCTCTCCTAACAAGTGACGGTAACCGTATCAGGTTAAATTTGTTTTCACATGGCGGAAAATTTGGCGGAAAGCAATTCGATTAATGTGACAGTGGCAATGAGCGGACTGCATAGGAGCATCGCATAGACGCTTACAATTAAACGGATCATTAAATTCTTTAAGCCCAGTAATAAACTGAAATAATTATCGAATCTCATGCTTATCATCTTCTAAAATGGTTTTTATTGCAAGACAAGCTTATCTCTGTGGCTGTCTAATCCACACTGGCTGATGTTTTCAGTTCAATATCATTGGGCAAACTTTCAAGCCGAAATGCGTCTCGATACACTCGAAAAATTGGAATTGCTTCGAAAACCATAAAACCATAAAAGTCGTCCTACGAATGGCGTGGTAACGCTCAAGATTGTATGAAATATTGAGTGATGTGATTTTAGATTTGGAAACTTTTAAGAAAAGAATTGGAAATTTTGTCTCAAACATACCAGTCCCGCGAATTATTGATCGTGTTAAGTAAAGACTGTTCAATTGTTCTTACATACAATCATTTTACATAGTTTATTTTGACATTCCACTGTTAAAAGCTTCTGCTTGTTTGCTTGCTTGTAAAACGAAAACATTCATGGGTTCATGTATACGTTTTAACAGAATCTTGCAGAGAAATGTTAAAGTTTACATTGAGATATTTTCACTGCTGTTCAAGCAAAAACAGAATTGCTGCCAGTTGCAGCTCAGTTACTCTTTCAATTTAACAAAATTGCTGCCAGTTGTAGACTTGTTCCGCTTGTTGTTTAGTTATTTACTTGTTATTGCTGGCGATGTTGAGATTACATAAAATATTTTTTAAAAATTTTATTTAAAAGAAATTGAATATTATTTGTAACTAATGACAAATAAAAGCAGTAAACAAAAGCATCGAAATTTTTTAAAAACAAGGATAAAATAAATCGATAAAAAAGCAAAATCAAAATTAAAATAAAAAAAAAAAGGCAAGAAAATATGAATGAAACAAAAGTCTCAGGTAAATCGAAAGAAAATTAATTAAAACATGTGCTATGCGTGGTGGCTTTGCAAACACACACACAAATTATGCATATTGGTGGCAAACAATAAGTTTGCAGAAATCCGAATGAAAACTTTCTCTCATTTCACTCAAAAGTGATAAGCAGAAATTCTCTATAAACAGTAAAAAAAATAAATAAATAAATAAGTAAACAAAGAAAAAGTAAAAAAAAATCATTTCCACCTCGTAACGAATCTTGGGACACCCTCTCACCATATAAGTGCACGGAAATTCGTCACAAGCAAAAAAGAAGAAAATTTTAAGGAAATCGGGAATGTGTGCAAGACACAGGTCTTATTGGCTTAGACCATTTTAATTCAAAATTTGCAGAAAAAAAAGACGAAGAAAAATAAGTCCGAATTCTCTTCATATAAGAAATTTTGATCTTCTTTGTATATATTTATAAAAGAATTAAAATCGATGTAGCGTTGGTTGCTAAGAAAAATTTTGCAAAAACTCATTTTTACTATGAGTTACTGAATCTTCTACGTATTTGATAACGTTAATAACACTGAGTATTTAATATAATTATCTTTATTTAGAATAGAAACCAATCTAATCCGGCAGCGTTAAAGCTCCGATAATTGCTATGACTTGCGAGTACATTTTTATATTAAATGCACAAAATTTCATAAACATTGCCGTGCAGTTGCGCGTTGTGTGCATTTTTCCCATGCGAAGATACTAGTTTTTTTTTTTCTCAATATAGGGTCATCCATTTTGCGGTTTCGCAAGTGCAATGTGAATAAAACTCACGTCTCATTGAGATTTAGATCAACTTTTATTATACCCTACACTACAGGGTATATTAAGTTAGTGCGGACGTAGGAAACACCCAGAAGGGCTTATTATACCCTACACTACCTGTGGTACAGGGTATATTAAGTTAGTGCAGACATATGTAGCGCCAAGAAGGGCTTAAGACAGACTCACCCTTTTTTATAAAGATCTTTGCAGAATCATTTTCTAAATCGATCCAAGCCTGCCTGTCCGTCCGTCCGTTCGATGTCTGTCCATGTAATTTTGTGTTCAACTTAAAGATCGCAAGGACGATTCCTACTGAAAATGGTCCGAATCGGTCCACTTTTTCGACCCCTCCCCATATAACATCCTATTCTGAAAAGTCATTATATTAAAAAAAATTGCAAATTTTTGAATGAGTGACAAAGTATTAGTATTTCGCCATTCTAAATTGGTGTGAAAACTTTGAAGCGGCTGGGCCAATTTCTTGTACCATCTATCGTATAATCTTTCCTACGGAAAGAAAAATTTTATATCGTAAAAAGGTCTAATTTTCAATATCTCATGGTGGAAGTTGGCTTGGGCCACATAGATCTATTTTTTGGATACCTTCGGAGATTCTCACGCAACGTAAACCCGTTTACATCAACAATCTTAATTATTACTTTTGCTTGTGATGAAAATTCGTTCATGATAATAATTTCACATGAATATTATTAAGTGGACCTCGTTTGAATCGCATGGGTTTATTTCTTGGCCCTACTCCATATAAGATATCAAGGTCTAATTTTTAATATTTTATGATGAAAATTTATTCACAGTAGGGTTTCAGCCGAAAAAACGAACGGTAACGAATTTGGATCACATAGGTCTATTTTTTTATAGGCGCTATCACGAAACGAAAACATTTATACGGAGAGAAAGTCCAACCTTCCAATATACTTTCATGGAAATTATAGCTTTGCAAGAAAGTAATGTGTAGTTTTTGGTGTATTGCTACCGAACCGAGTGAATAGTTGTACTAGACGAAGTGATGTATGTAATAGTCGACGTCGCAGGACTGTTACTCATTTACTATTACTAATTTAGTCATTATTTGTTGTTGTTACCTTAAATTTATATCCATTCTTTTTCACTTCTAAAAATAACGTTTATCTTTTGGAAAAAAGAAAGTCTTCTTAATGGATTCTTTAGCTTCCAAAAGTCAAAGACATCTAACAAATCTTTTCTAAAGTACAGATATTCTCTATAATAGAGTAAGATTTTAAATCATTCCCCTCTATAATCACTTAAATTGCATAATAAAACAAGTAAGAATATTATAGTCGGGCAAGGCCGACCATTAAATACCCTACATCACTTGGTCTAACACAGTTCCTATTTTTATTATATGACTCAAGAATTATATCTTGTTTCTATATAAAGACAAATTTTTCATGTTCATATTTGTGGGCAGGCAGGAACAAAACGCAATCTAATCTAATACAAGTTTAGCCTTCACATTGGGCAGGATCCAAAAATAGACATTGATGGTCCGAATTTTGTATGAGATTATCCTTATGGGTCAATTTTCACGTACTAAAACTTAGACTGTTCTCCTCTACAAAGAATCAATTTTCGTAAAAATCCTTATTAGGGTAGGATCCAAATCCAAAAAATAGGCCGAGATGGTTCAAATGTGGTACAATTAATTTTTTTATGTTAAATTACTATTGTGATATAATTTCCATCGTGAAGCATTGAAAATTATACCTTTTTGTCGTTTGAAATTCAGTTTTCGTTACATAAGAAGGGGTTCAAAAATTGGACCAACCGCTCCATTGTTTTCATACCAGTTTAGAATGCCGAATTACTTAGCCACTTTTGCCTGCAAATTTTGAAAAATGGCAAATTTTTTCCATATGATGATTCTCCAGAATAGGTCGTTATATGACGAGTGTTCGAAAAAGTAAATCGATCCGAACCGTTTCCAATAGCGTTAATCTTTGAATCAAAACACGTCACTGAACCAAATTTCATCAAAATATCTCAAAAATTGCAAAGTGCAGCTTGAACATAAATTTATATGACGCGACACCAGACGGACGGATAGGATTAGATCAAGTCATATTATGATTTTGAATCGATCGGTAGAGTAGAAAGTGGATTTATCTCAACTCCTTCTGCGTGCTACGTACGTCTGCACTAACTTAATATAAACTGTACCACAATTGCTGTAGGTAGGGTATCATGAACACACACAGCAATGTTTGATTAAATCTTTCAAATTTGATTATTGTCTTGTTATTGTATTTGAAAATTTGACTAAAATGAAATTTGTTTTACAGCCACCAGTGGCAATGAGTTGCAAAATGAGACAAACAGTAATCAGACAGTGCAAAAAGAAGAAGATTCAACAGCTGAAGCTTATTTAGATCATTTATTAAATAATGGCTGCAACGAGGGTGATAGCGAGTATGAAATGGAAATGCCCTCTTGGTATAATGATACGCTATTCAGAGAGTAAGTCATATAAAAATAAACTCAAATATTTTGTATTTATTATTTAGTAATAGAATCGTTATCGTAAAAAATTTTAGTTTGGATTTTTTTTTTTTTTCATTTTATTTATCATCGAAGGCAATTTCTCTCATATACTTACGTATTAATTTAACACAATTAACTTATTAGTGAAATTGCGTTTAAATATTTGATATTTCCTTGTGTTATGTATCTACGTTAGTGGGTAACAGTAACGATATGAAGCGCAAATTAAAAAAACCTGTTTTTCTATTTAAAGTTTTTTTACAAAATAGTTTTTTTTTCCAATAACACAAACCGTCTACGTAAGATAGAAATCGTTTTTGATTAGCTATAAATTATTAAAATTCAATGCAAAATATTATATAAAATAATTTTTATACCCTACAGCAGGTATGTAACAACCAGAAGGATTTAAAGATGGAGCCATCTTTTACTATATCGATACCTATCTATTCAAAATCACTTTCCGAAATGATTTAATGACTTGTCTGTCCGTCTGGTCGTCTTGTATTCTTGTCTTACATTTCGATTTAAGCTTTTCGGTCCGTCTGTCCAATTTCATATTCTTGAATGAAATTTCGATTTAAGCCAGTCTGTCCCCCTGCCCATCATGTATTCTTGTCTTACGTTTCGATTTAAGCTTGTCTGTCTTGTTTCATTAAATTTGGTATATTGACATGTTGTGACCCAGTGGCGAACTCTACTGAAAATGGTTCGGAAGATGATTTCATTGAATGAAATGGCATTAGCTCATAGCTCAGTATAGTGTTTTTATTTATATATATTTTTTTAATATAACTCGCCACTTGTAGGATATCCCTACATGGGGAGTTATATTTTTTAAAAAAAAGTATATATTTATATATGTATAATATATAAATATATTTCGGAGATCCTTATCGGTGTGAATGGCGGAACATGATTAATCTCTTACTTATTTCATATTTCGTCTTTCTAGGGAAATATCCAGGATTAGGGGGTTATATCGATTTGAAAGTCCAAGTTAGTTAGAAACTTTTTAATGATATTTTTTTGCTCTCATCTGCAAACTTTCCCCCCTTCTTTCTTTTTTACCCATATATTTTCCCGTTTTCCTTCTATTCCATCAGTAAATTTTTTTTCTTTCTTTTTAGTAGGTTTCTAATCTACTTAGGAAATAAGGAGGGAATATTTACGAATGGAACAACAAAAGATGGCATTAAAATGACAGTTAATACGTAGAAAAAAAGGAGTTGAAAACCCGCGCGATCAGAATAGTTTAATATTTATATTCATATATGTATCTTGTATATATGTACAAAATATATATATATATATATATATTTACATATATAGCAATATGCAAATATATATATACATGTATACATTTATACACATACCCACATATGCATATATATATTGACACATGTAAACACATGCACCTATGTACGCATAAATACATACATACATATATATATGTATGTAGATGTATATATCATACACCACTATATATATATATATATATATATATATATATATATTCACAACGAATATATACGCATATGTATAAATGCATGGCATGTATACATAAGGCGACGAAGAATTCGTAAAATTAAATTTTTTTTTGTTTTTGTTTTTCAATTTTCGTTATATAAAGAATTATGAATTTGAATGAATATTAGTTAAGCGTTAAACTTACGTGAAGCTTTTTTCAAGGATTGTGAAAAGGTAGCTATTGGTGCGTGCACTACACTACGCTATTACATTGATTTCTCGAGGCTTTGCCATCAGAAATTCAATTCATATCGTTTGATTAACGCTTTATTTGCCTTATTTGCCTCCGGTTACGTCCGAAAGGTTTTAATTCAATCGAAGAAAAATAAATGCTTTCAAATGAAGGTAAGCAAGCTTAGTTAAGCTTCTGATTTTCAGGAAGTTTAATACAAGTTTCAGTTGATGTCAGGTGATGTCAATCTACGAGGAAAACACTTCAACCCTCGCCTGCATAATTGCGGGAAATTTAAATAACAAATCAATGTCACACATGTCTTACATAGTACTGTCAGATCAGGAACAGAAATCACTCGTTCATTATATCCCATCGCATGTTTCATATATATTTCAAGTTATTTTTTAATTTAATTTGTTATCAACTTGTAGGTAATTATGTGATTTCAATTTCATATTTGTCCTCCTAACCTTCCATCAAGGATACGAAGAACAGTTTTCGATATTAGGAACTTAATTAAAAGAAAAAAAAAAGAGAAGTGAAAACGCTAAATACCCTAAACGAGTTTACTTAATAAAATAAAGCATTATATGGGAAGTAAGGGGAAATAAGGTATTACAACGTACGACGTGAGTGGTGGCCACTTGCGAGTAATTTTCAACTCGCCGTTAGGTCAAAACATATAAGTGTATGAAAATTTCATCGAAATAACTTGAAAATTGCAATAAGATAAGAAAAGAAGAATGGATCGGCGGACAGACGAACTTAAATCAATTCAGAAAATGTCTTTAAATCGATCGGCATAATAAATTGTGAACCTTTAGATTGAACACAAGAAAACAAAACGGACAGACGGACAGACAAGCTAAGACCGATTGGAAAGTGATTCTGAAGTGATTTCCTATCAAGCCCTATATTAAAAGATAGGTGTGTTTTAAGTCCTTCTGGCTGTCGCATACTTTTACCACACGGGGTGTAGAGGTTAGGTGTAAAAAAAAATATTGTTTAACCTATTGAGACGGATATGAAAAATATTTATACTCAGCGTTTCCTTTCAGAGAAAATTTTCAGATCGAAATTTCGTAAAGTAGCAGAAGTAGCAGACAAAGAGTTTGACATTCCATAATCAACTTCTATTTCTTTATTTGGCCGTGTCACGAGTATATGTATACTTTGTAAAGCTTCCGATATGCCATAAACATTAGTGAAAATATTTCTAAGATGGTGAAATTCCAATGTTTATATCTATGGCTATAATTCAGAGATTTCTTATACAAAACCCGCAGTGAAAAATTACGAAAAAAACCTGAAGCTATAGAGGCAGACATTGCGAAACAGTTAATAGTTTAATGTTGACGGCAGGCATGATCTGCATTTATCAAAGGAAAGACAACTCTATCTATCTGACTATCACTAAGAATTCTATAGTCAATATCATTTTTAATCTCGCCTATCTTATCGGCAAAAGTAAGAAAAGTAAGAAAATTATATTCGGTAATGTACCGAATCTTTGATATCCATCCCTGTTGTCCTAAACGCAACTATGTCCTTTCAGGCCAGTTTCAAGTTCTTTTGCAGATTGGTAAGCGATATCCTCATCTTTCCGTACGGGAGAATGTTTACCACGTAGTTGACAGACGGACAGTTGGATAGATGAATGGACGAACATGCTGATGGGCATTCCGTGTTTGAAGCTGGCCAAGACTTCCTATCCTTTATGGGTCTTTTGAAGTTTGCTTCTGTGCATTGTAAAAATTGAATTTTGATTGGCTGGGCGTGGTTAATTTTTCCCATTTTTGTACAGGTGCTACACTAAGGCTCATAGCATATATGTTCAAGTTTTTGTAAATTTATTCGCCATAGTTTATGAATAAGACGCAAAAAACCAATTTTTTATTCCTTTTAAGAAATGGAGGTGTCTTCAGTTTACGTACTATTGTAAGCGTCTGCTTCGATTGATTTCGCCCGTATTCAATACCAACCTGCTTGCAAGAACTTCCAATCTTTCTGCCAAATTTCAAGCCAATTAGGGCATATCTGCGGTCAGGAGAAAGCTTGCAACTGACAGACAGAGGGACATGCTCAAATCGATTGAGAATTTGATGCTAATCAAGAATATATATACTTTGTGGAATCTATGAAAGTTCCTTCTGGGTGTTGCGCCTTTTTTGATAAAATGCATATACGCCTCATTTTACGGTGATGGGTATAAAACTGGTTTCCAAGAAAGCTTATGGCAAAAAATAAAAAATATGCAAGAGATAAGACTTGGATTTATCAAAAAAAAATAAATAAATATATAAAAATAATAATAATAATAATATTTTATTTTTATCAACACGAACATTTTCAGGGGGCAAACATACATGAGCAAATATCGTTTCGTTTTGCAAAGCGGTATGTTGGCGGGCTTAATTGCTGTACTCTCTGTACCGTCTATATTAAAAGTGTTAATGTGCACACGGCAATCATCAACACCAAGTACGGCCTATAGACGCTATTTACGTACAATATTGCATACGCAAGCCTGGTATGAGTATCCGCCGGAACCAAGAAATTCGAAATTTTGGATCAGCTTACGAGCGGTCAGAAAAGCTCATTCACGCTCAAGTCGAGCTTGCGCTAAACTCGGGTCCGGCATGATAACGCAAAAGGATTTAGCTTTAACCCAATTCGGTTTTATTGGATTCATTACCTTGGGTGCATATCGTATTCAATTATATGATCAGGAATTTCTCGAGGCGACTAGTCACATGTGGCGAGTCTTAGGCTACTTATTGGGCATTAAGGATGAGTATAACATATGCGGTAAAAATTGGAGTGAAACAAATTTGCGATTAGACATAGTGCTGCGTAAAGTGTATATACCAGCTTTGGAAAATGCTTCCAAAGATTTTGAAGATGCCACCAAAGCATTATTACATGGTTTATGGCCGGTAAATACCAGTTTAACCGTCGGCTCATATCTATTTATGACAAAACGTTTGGCTTGTGTTAAAGGTTATGAATATTATGAATTTGATCATCGGCCCGGGGCACAACGCGATCCCAATCAGCATCTTTACTATAAAGATTTAAATTGGTGGGATCGGTTCATCGTATTTTATGGCCTATTTCTTGTCACTTATCTACATAAATATAATGCTGTGCGTTGGTATCTTAACTTCAGGGTATGGCTAAATGAACAAATTTCATATTATGTACCCTATGTTGCGATGTTTATGTTCGGTTTCAAATTGGCCTTTGTACGTATTTTCACTAAGGCTGGATCGGAAAATGATTTTAAATATCATTTAAAAATAGAATAGTATACACATGTACATACGCACATACACACATATATATATATGTATATGTATGTTACGTTATGTTCTATTTTTTATGATTTGTTTTTATAATAAAAATAAAATTAATTATGTGTAGAAATAAAGAAAGAAAAAAAAAATTCGAACTTAATTTCTTAAACTAATTTGGTGAGTATGATGACGTATCGAAGCCATTGGCCAGCATTTGTTCGTCAATCCAAGCGCGGACGGAGCCCACATGCGCATAAGCTGCAGGAATTGCGTCTTTACATCCTATGCCCCAGGCAACAATGCCACTCTGATGATAACGATTTTCATTAGGCAAACCAATTCCACAGACCAAAGGAGCACCACCATCACCTACGCATGTATCGATCCCAGCTTGACCGCCTGCACATATAAAAGACCGATCCAAAGCGAATCTTGGTCCCAAACGTGTTGCACGCAATTGTGTTTGGCACGAATTGAATTCGACTATAGGTAAAGGAACGCGTTTCATAATCGCGCTAAAACGTCCTTCGGCCCCGAAAACGTCTTTACCCCAACCACTCGAATAACAAATTGTTCCCTCTCTTGGCATATGATTTTGTGATGGTAAACATATTACGTTGATATGATCGCCTAGAGTGAAGGGTGCATTTACTATAACCAAAGCAAAATCATTCGCCACATTTCTAGTGTTGAAATTCGGATGAATAATTGTGTTTAAAACTTCACGTTCTTCGTACGGCAAGCGTTCCTTAATTGTTTGTGTATCCCACTCGCCAGCTCGTACAATAAAATTGTTCGCTAAGTTATTTATACAATGAGCCGCAGTCAACACCACACGGGGATGTATTAGAGAACCGGCACAAAAATAAGTTAAATTGTCCGCTAATAACAAGGCTACGGTCCAGGGGAATTCGCCAAAACCTGCCTCATTATCATCAGCTCCGGTTATATTAAAATCGATGCCACCCACATTTCTAATCCCGCAGCCCGTAGCCCGATAAGATCGTTCTTCTTGAGGAGTCGGAGTCAAACTTTCGTTATGCACCCGCGCACCGTCACAGCAAACGTCTAAGAAATGATCGCAAACTGGATCATCATTTCTACTGAAACGTAAATCTATTAAACCGAAGCCATCAAAGCTACCATCTTCCGTTACCGTATTCGTCGTTGGATCACACATATGATATGGTACACAATTGCATTGTGAACGACCAGAAATCGATTGGAAATTAGCTAAGGGCTCGGCATCGCTAATTGGTACGGGTGTAACGATATGACCAATTCCTCGATTAAATGGTTCACTCGACCGCTGATTGTTAATCGTATTATTGAAAACTCTATTAACTGCAGAAATTAAGCCGGAATCAATGGGTTGCTGTTGAGATAATGCTTTTGTCCAAATTACTGTTAAAAGTAACATCAGGAAGAATTGTTTCGCATTTTCCGAAGTCATTGTATGAAGAGCTAAAAAAAAAAAAAAGAGAGCAAAATTGTTAGTGGAAATAGATTAACCGAGATACGAAATGAAAATCTTTGACATCTCAACACATTAACCCATTGTATGGATATTTCAAAGTAAATGTTTTCCTAATTGCGAGCCTTTGCCTTTTTTGAAATGTCTGTGCCGATGTTTCATTTAAATGTTTGATTGTAATTTATATCACATGCGTCTAAAAACGGCCGGGAAGGGCTGTAAGTAAAGATTGACCAAAGGCAGGATTAGTATTTGTGGACGATCCAAAATGGAGACCTTTGGAATATCTCGCCCTGGAGAGTTGAAATAATCGACCGTGACGGACGTCAGCTGATCTCGAATTTAGATTCGGCTAAGTGCGAACCTCTGGTTTTGAAAAGAACAAAAAGTGAATTTAAGATATTTGATCTCTTTCTCTCTGTCTCTCTCTCTCTATCCCTCTCTCTTTCCATTTCTCTATCTTTCCCTCTCTCTCTAACCCTACCTGCCCCTCTCTGTCTCTCTCTATCCTTTTCTCTCTCTCTATCCATCTCTCTTTCTCTCTCTGTCTCTCTCTCTTATACGAATCATCAAGTCCAAGAATTGCTTAAGCAATCCCGTCTAGTCGACTTTTATGAATTATCATTATTCCAAATTAATTGGGCTAATAAGACTTGCTAGGAGTTTAGTGTGTTCATAAAATAATAAAGCTCATCACCTGAATATAATGCGACCGAATGCGTAATGACGTGCAGAATAAATAATCTAAACAATTCTTAATTCAAACTCTGAACTAAATGTGTCCTCATCGGCCAGGTCTACATAACCTCTTACACACATCGCCATACAAAACTGATAAGACCCCATGACCAAAGAAAACTAGTAAGCCGATGAAATTTTTCCCCTATCATAGACAATTCCTTACATCTTATGATTGCTATAGAATTGACAAAAAATTTACGATCGCCCCCGTCTTTTGGTTACCAGTACAATGCGATTCTAGAAAAGAAGTGAGAAAAGTGTTGAGTTTTTGCAAAAAATCCGTGATAAAAGTCATTTAAAATTACTTTGGCGTCTGCGATAAATTTCAAGCCGTTGATTGCTCGATATTAAGGTTACATCAGATCCCCGTAGTCACTAAAGGCTGATTGGCATAAAGTTAAGCTTTCAACTAATAGAAAGCACTTCGCAAGTTTGCCACATACAGCAAGTGAGAAACTACTACTACAAAGGACATTATTTGATGTAATTAGATGTTGAGGTTACGTGTAACTTTTATAGTGAAAGCTTTTCCTAAAACTATACATTAGTTGACATAAAAATAATCTCCGATTGCTGTGGTAAAGGCTGCTCTCTACATAAAATCTCATTGTTCATTTGCTGTTAGTGACGAGTTAAGCGCGAGGGGAAAATTTTTGCCGCAGGGCAATACTTACGCCCTTCGCGGCTGCTTTTTTAATTACGGGTAACAATATGGAAAACAATAATCGGATAAGATCTTTACACAGATGCAATAAATACTTGCACCAAACTCAAGGCTGGCATTAGTAGTAAATTGCCCATGACAATTTTATTGTTTTCCCAGAGTAAGAGTTTCGTACAGTTAAACCTGTTTTTATGCGGTCATTTTTATGCGTTTTCGTTCGATTTGTTTTGTCCAACTTTCTGCATAAATGGTAGAGAAAAATAGAGAGAGAGAGAGACACAGAAAGACATAGAGAGAGGGGAAGAATAAGCTACATTTCTCGTACGACAAGCCATGTAATTGGAAGTACAAAACATAGTTTCTTTGAACTTTGATCAGATGTAGTTTTGCGCAAAAAAGTGCAATTTGCGGAAAGCTTTATGTTGCGGAATAGCGTGGCTAAAACCTTAAGAGTGATGAACAGTGGATTCGCTACAAAATCCAAAGCCTACATAATCATGATATAGAATATCCACGAACCACTAATATCGACAATAAGACCTGGTGTATTGAAGTCTGTTCCCATCAAATGAAACCATCGCTAAGAAACGCTACTAACCATCAGCATAATTAATAAAAGATGGCATTGCGTCAAGAAATTAACGTCGTGAATTTTTAGTATGCGGAAATTTAGCTGCCTATAGCAAAAGCGTCCGCCCCGTTGTTCCCAGTAGATATTACTGCTTCCAATTAATACCGGTCTCCATCGATGACTTATTGTTTATTCGAAGTTCGAGCTTCGAGCTTCGATTCTTATGACGATACCTAGATACTAGTTCGTTTAGGGATAGCCTTAAAAGACGAGAATTTTTTCGAGATGAAATTCAAAAATATGCGATTGGGGCAACAGGAACCCATTATTTTTATGTGAACTTTAAGACTTTATTTAACATGGTTCAGACAATTAATTTTGATCAAATGTGCTACGCTTTTGTTCTAAAATTATTTGCCATTCTAAAGTTAGCTTCATGTTTCTCTTGGTGTGGACACTAGTAATCGATTATCACAATATTTTCTTGATGCCAATTTCTTATCGCTACGGAAGTTTTGCAATGCAAGAAAAGCATGGTAATCGCTTGATGCCAGACACAAACTATATGGTAGATGCATCAAAATTTCGCAACCAAGCTCCCGGAGTTCTTGACGAGTTACTAAGAACGTCTGTGGGGCCTGGCGTTCTCCTTATGGACTACGATTTCTCTTCTGTTGGCCAATTCTGGCCGTTTCTGGTCAGCCGCTTTCTCTCAGTTTAGTACCTTTCGATCGATTTGCTTCGTTGTTAAGGCCAAATTCCCACCAAGAATCTCCAAATTTTCTTTTCGCTAAGTTTTAAGTCAATAAATTCATTTTTGCGACTAAGAGAAGGTTTGCTATAGAGGGACAGGCGGACATGCTTAAATCGATTCAAAATTTAATATTGATCAGGTGTACATATAGTTTGTGTGGTCCCCGAAAGCTTTGTTCTGAAACTGGAAAACTCATCACCCTTCGGTGATAGATGTGAAGAGATTCAAAACGACGTAGTCAGTGGTTCTAGTGTTAATATATTGTGAAAACTCATTTGTAATAGCAATCTTTTTTTTCCGATCTTTTCCTGCGTTCTCTATCTAGCGCACAAAAACAGGCTTATCTGTACATTACTCATTTTGAATCGAAAGTTGTCAAGTTAAGCCAAGTATATATGTATATGTAAGTTTTTTCGAATTCTCTGCCTCTGAAGAAGAATAAAGCAAAAAGTAGTAAAAAAGTAGGAGTAAAGTCAATACTCTATTCCCAAGGCAAGAGTGGAACTCTTCATATAACACAACTGCGTTTTCTCCATTGACTCATACGCGCTCGATTTGAATGTGAAAAAAAAAGATTGAATGATATCAATACTGCATTTATTTAGTGTCACCGGTGTTAACTATATTTTATTTCATTTGCTAACACACAGGCACACACACACACTCACACACACAATATTCTTTATATAATGATCTGTTTTACATGTCAACCGACCGCATAAGGTGAACACAACAAACACGTGTAATGTAAAAAGTCATCTATCGGCTTAACCATAAAAAGATCTTTTGCCAATAACCTTGAAAATGAATCGAGATGCAAATGAGTGCACACGCATAATAAGTAAATAGCAAACAGCTTTTTACCGAACAGGTTCGTATAAAAGTGTGCGTACGAATTTCTTCGAACGAAGAGACAAAGATTTAATCTCTGATTGTTTGTTGTTTGTTTGCCTTTTCTTGCACTAAATTCCCAAAGGTATGGAGAGAGGACAAGACACACGCACACAGAGAGAGAGAGAAAGAGAGAGAGAGAGATGCAAAACGCGATTATCATTGAATTTCAAAGAATTTATCGAAATGGATTTTCCCATAATATATTTTTTTTTTTTTTTTCAGCCAACAATATTATTGTTTTCTCCAGTTTCGCGAGCGCAAATAATGATGAAAATCATTAATAATTTCAATTATAAAATATAATTAATTAATTAATAAATACAAATCACTGTTCATTTCTTCATTTTTTTTGTGCTTAACAACGATTTATGATGATTTATTAAACTTGATTATTCTTCCGTTTACCTTTGTATAAAACCGTATAATAATGCATTCACTAGCGAAGTTAACACTCAACTAAATTCTAAATGCTTTTGTTTTGCTTTTTTAATATAATCGCCAAGTAATCATATATAACAAATGGAATTTTATGCCAAAGCAGCATCCAATATTTCATATGCATATCTCAGCAATGACAGAAATATTGACTTTTTTTTTTTCATTTTTTGTACTAAAAATAATTAAAATATTAATTAAAAGACAGATTTGATTAATAGTGAATAGAATAGAAGTTTAAGGGCTCGGTTGAATTAGATCGAATTAAAACGAAAGTATGACAGAATTGATTTCAAAATAAGGGGCAAAGTGCATTATTAAATACTCTACATCATCCTACTGTCAACCGCTTATTAACTTTTCAAAATAAGCCTTTGTAAGGGAAGCGATCAACAGAGTAGTCCGATCCGAGCCATTTTCAACAGCATTCGTCCTTGGTCAAAACTTGTAAGGATACCAAGTTTCATCAAAATATCCTGAAAATTTCCATTTGTACGTTAAATACATAAGAAAACAAAGCCGGACACACGGGCTGACAAGCTTAGATCGTTTTAAAAAAAGGTGAAGCTTTCTCAAGTCCACAAGAGAACAAAACAGACACGCAGACAAATGGACAGACAAGCTTAAAAGGCGCGCCTATCTCAGCTACAGTAGAAAACAAGCCAGAGAGAGAAGCTTTCGTAATGCGAAGTGATTCTATCTCTGTACTTAGTAGGGAGTACATCCACACAAAGTAAATGTATCCCACTATCACAAGTAGTGTAGGTTTTAAGAAATTTCTATTAACATGTTTGCATTCAAAAGCGCAAGCTAGCTTAAAGCATTGTCTATAGAGATTACAAAATATTGCTTATTAGTCGAGAATTAATTAACTGATTAGGAGTCCGCTTATTCTTGATGGCCTACATATTGCCTACCACAAGTTATTGAGAAAATTCTGCTCAAGTTTCAATGTTTAAGTCTCTTTCAGATTTCTAGCACTTACTGATAGATCACACATCCTTTCGTCTCAAGGCCCCAGAGATAATAATGGATAACAATGAAGAGGCGATCATGATTAAGTTGAAATCAACTTCGAACGAAACGAAATAATACCCATATATTTGATCGAATTGCCAAGATAAATTATGCGAAAATGTTAATAGTAATTCTCAATGCAATTTTCTCAATCTTATTTGAGATTTTAGATCTTAATTAATAATAAAAATTAAAAAAAAATATATTGGCTATTCTTAGAGAAAATCTGTTAACCTAATCTTGTTTAAACATGCTTTAGGATACTAATTAAATAGTTCTTAATTCTCAAACAAAAAAAATATAAAAAATAAATAAGAATATTATAGTCGGACAATGCCGACTATTACGTACCCTACGCCACTTCGCCTAGTACAGTTATTCGCTCGTTTTAATACTAATACACCAAGAAGTACATATTATTTTCATGCCAAGTCATAATATTCATGAAAGCCCGGATATTGAAAGGTTAGACCTTCTCTTCATATAAGAGTTTGCGGTTCTATATATGTTAGGGTCCTAGAAAAACAGACCTCTGTGGTCCAAATTATCTACCATTAATTTCTTTTGCTCACGCGTTACTATGAATTAATTTTCATCATAACATATTAAAAATTAAGTATTTTTCCAAGCAGCTTACTATCCATGAGATATAGACCCTTATAGCTCAAATTAGGTTCACTTCAATTTTATGTTAAATTACTATTATGAACAAATTTTCATGATAAAAAAATTAACAATTAGGCCGTTTTGGTATATAAGTGCTTAAGCTTTATGAGAATTATCGGCGGTGATATCTAGAAAATAGATCTGCATGGTTCAAATCCGACAAAACTGATTCCTTTGTCAATTTACTATTATGAGCCAATTTTCACCGTGAAATATTGAAAATTATAACTTTTTTCCTCATAAAAATTCAGTTTATTTGGGATCGGTTATATGAGGGGTTCAAAAAATTACCACAGTCGGTTCATGTTTTCACAACAATTCAAAATATCGAAATACTAGTACTGGATTGCTTTTGTCGACAAATTTTGAAAATTTGCGAATCTTTTTTTTTTTATAACGACTTTTAAGAATAGCGCGTTATATGGGGAGTGGTGAAAAAGGTGAATCGATTCGAGCCATTTTGAACATCGTTCGTCCTTGGACGAAAGCAAATTACAGTAGCAAATTTCATCAAAATATCTCAATTCCGACCTCTACTTCGAACACTAATTTACATGGAAAAACATCAGACGGACAGACGGACAGACATGCCTAGATCAATTCAGATAACGATTCTAAATCGATCGGTGCAATAAAAGGTGGACCTATCGCAACCAGACATCAGATATCAGACGGACAGACAGGCTTAGATCGATTTACAAAGTGATTCTGAATCGATCGGTGCAATTAACGGGAGGTCTATCTTAAGTACACGGCAGACATCAGATGGACAGACAGGCTTAAATTAATAAAAGGTAGATCCGTCTTAAATCCTTCTGCATGTTACATACGACCGCACTAAATAATATGACTTGTACCACAAATGCCAGACGGTACAAATACATCGATGTATATATAAATATGTAACATATGAGTGTACAAATTTTCGCAAGCTTCGAATATTCAGTTTATTAAGAAAAACAATAACAAAAGCATTGAAGAAATTCCATTTCTTATGTTATGTATGTAAATAATAAACAAAAATCAAAGTTTTTTTTTTTTTATGATTAAATGGAAAAACTGGTACAAAAAATTTTCAAAGGTAACCATTACATATATTATTCAATATCATCAAAATCTGGTTTTTATCGATAGGTGTACGAAGAGACAGCAATTTTCACATTATTTTTATTTAAATATAAGAGAAATGAATGTAAGTGAATAAGAAACTTTTTTATAGCGAAAAGAATGAAATAATTTTAAATAAACAAGACCAGGATAAATTATACGCGATATACGATACGATATATATCTAATATGTCATCGTAGGACACTCCATTAGACTTTTCGCTTCCTCTTAATAGATTTCTTTGGCATTGTTTTTGTTTCCTTCACAGGCCTATTAAACGAAGAAAGGCAATAATAAAGATCGATTCTTTTGCACACTTCTTTTCATTCGATTAACGATAACTGTGCATTGCTTTCGTAGAGCCGGCGCATCCTTTTCGTCGTCATCACTAAGTTCACTCACTCGTTTTATTTTCTTATCGACTTCGAGTAGTAAAACTTTATTTTGTTTTAGTGCTTTCCTAACTTTACCCATAATGACGTTGCATATATGCGATAGATGCATCGATGCATCGTCCACCTTGCCGGGGGAATTTTTAGTAGCTTTATTCTTCAAGTTATTAAAATTCTCTCCTGATTATAGCGCATTGCTCTCCCAATTGTATGAAACGGTTTTCAATATCTTGCGATTCAATTAGCAATTTATTTATTCCTTCGACTTTGTTGTCATCGAAATTGAGAAACAATTTCACAATAATTCGATACTCGTTATTGCAGATCGGGCACTTTGTGGAACTTGCAATTAATAAAGACAAAATTTATAATTGATTAGATTTATCCTAATGCATCGCATTACCCAATACGCCAAGTTTGAATGCAAATGTTCGTGGAAAAAATGGCCACATCTTGTAATGCATACCGAATTGCCGCCATATTTGAATTTGTCCATACATATGACGCACAAATTAGCTGAAGCTAACGACGACATGTTGAACAATTAGTTTAATATTGAAAACTTATTTCACTCAACGCTAGCACACAACAATATTTTGAAATTATAATTCGGACAATTGTTGTTGAACAAATTCACTACAGATTTTTTTTTTCCCCTAAACAATGACAATGAAATGTGTTAACAAATTTAACAGATAACTGTTTTAAAAGAAGCCGAAGAAGAAAAAGAACTTCCGGTGATTTCTTGTATATTTTTGCAGTTACAGCAAAATTTTGTTCAAAATCAACTGAGTACGACTACTACTGCTACAATGACTTGGAGAGATTAAATTGCAATCAACTTCAGAACTGTTTGAATGCAAGTGTAACGCACCCGTGTTTCTTCATTCGTCGAATTAACTCAGCTAAAAAGATTAACTTTGTTTTTAATAAGTATTCCAAGTTGTTTTGTGATCTGAATCCACCCAAGAGCGAACACGAAATTTAGCAAATGACGCGTGCAGCGATCATGTCGTGACATCGGTGTCCCGCCAACAGATGTTGACTTATTGAAGGATTAAGTTACGATCACAACAACTAAAATCGATTAGCATGATTGCGACATTAGATATTGAGCATATTCCACCCAGCAACCGTCCACGAAAGTAGATGCCCGGACCGAATCGTGGAACTTAGGCATTACAGAAGACCTCTAAATTATACTACCCGCCAATCTTCTTATATAACGTTAATGTAAAAGACATCGTAGACCAACCTCAGGCCCAAATATCAAATGTAACAGTCAAAGATAAGAACATGAATACCAGATCGTTCTACAGATTGGTGGTGGTACACAAGCCGCACCACTTAAGCTGAGAATAATTTTGTTTTTCAAAAGGAAGAGTTTTTGCGCATTACTCATAGACTACAGCAGAACAAATGTACAAATATTTAAACTTATATTCTATGGGCGTTGATGTAATACCTGCCCGACCTGGAAAAATGGAACACCGCTACTCAATATCCCACAATTTCTTTTTTCAATATCTTTACAACAAGCTCTAAAACGGCGTAAAATACATAAACATATACATATTATTTCAAGAGCGATCTGGATAATATTTTTGCCTGGTCGACTCTTGCTGTTGAATTCGGCCCTGACCGAATCTTTTTCACCCATCACTATCATCCTAAAAAAAACAAAAAAAAATAAAAGAACTAAATTTTCATGCTCTATAACATAAAGTGGGCGCGGCTGATTTTTTCTATTTTCAAAAAAAAAGTTGCTGTCGCATAGGTGTGTGGCCGTTGTAGGCGTGTCCTTGAAAGTTTAAATCACTTCCAAATACTTTTGGAAATTTGTAGAATATATCTTGATCTTCGCTAACCGGAGAATGTTTACCACAGATATTTCACAGTTGCGCAGCCAGACGGATAGACGAACGAACAGAAGGACCTGTTTAGGTGCATTCCAAATTTGAAACCGGCTAAGAATGTGTATACTTCATAGGGTTTTTCAAGTTTGTCTCTGTAGTTGTTTCTAATGGTATTAGACAATTAAATTTTGGTAAACTATAATATTGGGTAGGCGTGATCGTTTTTTGTGTGCGAATACTACAGCAAATTTTGGTACATTTATTTACTATAGCTTATGAGTAAGGAGCAGATAAACAATTTTTCATTCCTTTCGAAAAGCAGAGATGTTCCTTTACTTACGTGGTGCTGTGGGCGTGTCCTTCGACTGATTTTGCTCAATTTCAATACCAACCTGAGTGCAAAATCTTCGAATGTGTCTGCCAAATTTGAAGTCGATAGCTTCATTTTTGCGGCCGGGAAAGTGTTCATAACAGATGTTATACAGACGGACCGACACACATATGAACGCACGGACAGACAGGCATGTTTAAATTGATTCAGAATTTAATACTTCTATATACAAACTTTGTGGGATCTCTGAAACTTCCTTGTGGGCGTTGCAAACACCAATCGTTCGGATGGAAATGCTACAGAGAAGTGTCAAACAATTGCAATTGCACTAAAGATTCTTACCCGCATAAAACAAATGCATATGGAATTGAATCCAGAATGTGGAGGCGTACTGCATGCAAGTACTTCTTTTTTTCTCCTTTTTTTGGACGCTGATTCAGATGGACTAAGCCAACTAGAATTACAGCTTATAGGCCCAAACTAAGTACTTCAACGTAATAGGTTACATATTGATGAGATGTGCCCAGAAACAAGTTCAAGCGTAAGTCTCAGCAACTACGTATACGGTGTCAATAGTTACACTAAATCGTCGTCTAGTAGTTCGTCTCATGATAAAAATACTCATGTTAGTGGTATTTGAAGTTGTATGAATTCTCCGTTACTTGCGTGTTATACACTTTAAAGAAGTGCGAGAATTCGTCGTTACTGTCATTTCCAGAATGAAGCACATTAGTGTGGATAGGTATATATAATATCGGGTACATAGTGCTTGCAAAAAATATTGAACCGGAAAGTGAGAAAAAAATCTTTACCTAAGCAATAAACAAATAGGAATTGAAATTAACGACCTTCTATTCATTGGATTCGTCGGAGATAATTTGGTGAATTTTATTTGATATTTATTTGTTTATAAAATTCTTATCAAGTATATGAAAGAAAACGCTCTGCAATAAAAAAAAAAAAAAACAATTTAAAATATATATGTACATACTGCTTGCGCCTCGTCTTGACCCATTGCCAAGGCACTATCCGCAATACACGTAAACACAAAAATAAATTTTACTTCTCTTCGCACCATTCGTTTTCTCTACGTATTTGGTCCTCTTCAGCCGGCGTAAAATCGTTTCTAATGTTAAATGTCTTACGTATCTCGGCTGATGTCTTGCCTTTAATCATATTGGCTACGGTTTTGCATGCAATATCTAATAAACCTTTTATATCCAAGTAGTTTGCAGCCAAAATTAATTCGAATAAAGTGTCTTGATCTACTTTAAGAAACTCAGCATCCCATAACGATATATCATCGGATTGTTTCTCCTTATCCTCATCGTCTTCGGTAGGCTGAGGATCATCTTTATGATAGTTGGCCCAAATTATTACTTGACGTAATATTTCCGAATTTACATTAGGCAAAGGTACGATAACATTACCGCCGCTTTCCATACCACAATCTTCCAGCATAGTCTTAATCGTACCCGAACATTTTGCAACTTGCGCGTCAGTATTGAAGATTTCATTATCCGACGATTGCAATTGTATGTTAGGCATTGTTTCCTAGCAATTACTTAAATAATTTCTTATTTACTTATTTTTTTTTTTTTTGTGTGAATGTTGAATAATTACTCAAAATATGCGCTTCTTCAAAAAGCCTTCCGTTCGATTTTAATACACTTAATATGCTACACTGACAGCAATTCGAAGCTTTAGCTGAAAGTCTGTGCATATTGTTTCAATTTTCAATCATAGCAATCATGAAAAGATTTCAATATATCGAAATTAAAGAGATTTTTTTTTTTTAATATCCATCACCGAGTAATGAGGAGTATATTTTGTTTGTCAAAACGTTTGCAACGGTCGGATGTAAACTTCAGAGACTCCACAAAGTATACATATTCTTGAGCAGCATTAAATTCTAAATCGATTTAAGCATGTCCGTCTGTTTAACATTCTCCTGGTCGCAAAAATGCAGTAATCGACTTCCAATCTGACCGAAAGATTGAATAATAAAAGCAAGAAAAGATTTTATTTAATGCCAAGTTCTAAGAGCAATTGTAAAGAATGAGAATGACTTCTAACTCCCTTTGCAATGCATTCAAGCTCATTATGCTTGCTAAGGTGGGGAATTTCTCGCCTCCGAGAGAGGAAATCGTTGCGTTTCTTTATTTTATTATTTTTTTAATACTTTTTGCTGCAGGATTTATTTTTGGTTATAAAGAATTAGCAAAACTTCTTTCTTTCTTCTTATTGTTTTTCTTGTAACGAAATACTCAAAAACTATTTCTTATAATGACATTGCGCGCTATTGTTGCTCTTGACTGGAATTTATTTAAAAATGAAATTGAAATACAATGTCTAGTCATTAGGTGAGTAGAATTCCTCTCTTCATAGTCAAGTTCAGGTTTGTTATTTACAAGCATCTCTGTGCGTTTAGAATACGTGCAAGAAATTGAGGCCTCGATTGTTTGTAAACAAAAAATTTTTTTGTGAAATTTTAAAATTGTAACCAAAAATTATGTTTTATCACGTAAGTTCAAATATACAAAGTAATGCATCAATATTTTCTAAACTTGTAATTGAAAAAAAACTTGAACAGATTTCCTTAGAGCATGAAATACTTTTACATCCGCGTTACTTTGGACCGCAACTATTGGAAACTGTCAAACAGAAGCTATATACGGAAGTTGAGGGCACCTGCACCGGTAAATACGGATTTGTTATAGCAGTAACAACCATTGATCAAATTGGTTCCGGAATTATACAGCCGGGACAGGGTTTCGTTGTATATCCGGTAAAGTATAAGGCGATAGTGTTTCGACCCTTTAAAGGTGAAGTCTTGGATGCGGTTGTAAAGCAAATAAATAAGGTAACAAAAACGTTGAATATAAAATCAATTAATTGAATCGCTGTGTTAAGCAAATTTCTAATGTAACGTAGGTGGGAATGTTTGCGGAAATCGGTCCTTTGTCTTGTTTCATTTCACATCATGTAAGATATTAAAATGCATTAATATTAGGTGCTTGTAAAAATTTTAGTCACTTTTTCCCTTGAAGAAGGCTGTTATTGTGGAAAATTAGTAAAATATATATTAATCAAAGTAGTTTCTATTATTGTCTGCAATATTTGACAATATTTACACCAACTCGGCGATATCACGTGGAAAGAACTTATATTGGTTGATCAGCGATCTTCTATCGACCCACATTTGCACTTCTTCAACTTTGCGGACCCGCGTGCGACCCAAGTCATGCTGCTATGATCTGAATAAGTGGTAATCAGAAGGCGTCATGTCCGGTGAGTACGCTGATTGTGGCAGAACTTCCCTTTCGAGCTGCAACAGTGCATCCTGGACACCTCTTTGGCAACAAGTGACCAAAAAATAGTATTATCAGTCAATTCGCGTAGCCGGTGAAGTGGGGTATGATGGAGCAGCATCGCAATAGGCTTCGAAACGGGTTTGTTGGTCTTCGGCTGCAGTTTTCTTGAAAGAAACCACAAAAGTAATGAATTTGGAAAGAGATGAACTTCGAGCACTCCATTATTAGCATCGGGGTACGCTGAGTGAATCAATAATATTAAACAAAAAAACTGTTATTTTATGTAGAAAAACAATCGAATTTAACTATTATGTATTTTGGTATTTCCCACTTCCTTATCATATGGATATTTTTACCTATAGAAGCCGCTGACCAAAATTTTTGCAAAAACCTAACATAAAAGCAGCTTTAATAATAGTTAATAAAAAAGTTGAGATTTTTTTTATTTTTTCTGTTTTAGTCGATACCGGCTGATATGCAGTTTTGCCCTAACGGCAATCCACCTTGCTATAAATCCAAAGATGAGGATGTAGTCATTTCCGGCGAAGATAAGATACGCTTAAAAATTGTGGGTACACGTGTTGATGCTACTGGCATTGTAAGTTGGAAGATATGCTTTGGCAATTACATATTCGTTTCAAATTTAATATCTTACAGTTTGCTATTGGCACATTAATGGACGATTATTTAGGTTTGGTTGGTAGTTAACTACTACTACTTAGCTTAAGCATTTTCCGTTAGGGAATTTCTTTATTTTTTATATACCCTTATAGAAATTTTACATATTTTGTATACCTATACATAAATATTCTGTAATTAAATAAATTAGTAACATTTATTTTCAATGAAAAAGTAGAAAGTAAAACTGCACATATATAGATTTTAAATAAACCAATTTTCAACTTTGCATATCTAAGATAAATTTATTATTATTTGTTTACCATAAAGTTATAACAGCCGGCAAGTGGGTTTTTCACATATAGTGTACAAGGTAACAATCGACAAGTTAAAGCCCTTAAGTCGGCGAAGACTTTAAGCAAACTTCTTTTGCTATCGTCCGCAATTGATTTCTTTTCTCATATACTCTCCTCATTCTCAAATTTCCTAACATCTCCGTTCTTTTAGCTTAATACTAATAATGAAATGAAGACTAAGGTGTGCTTGTTTTTCCTCTCCTTGAAACAAGTTTCTGTAATTTCTTCGTATGATCAATTGCTTCTTTGCCTATGCGTGGCGAGAATCGACGTATATTTTCCAAAAATTCACGAAAATCAGCTTCAGCGGATCGTCGTATATTTTCCTTTATTATCGCTAGACGCATTTGCGTTACAAAACGATAACTATGTAATTTGGGTAAATGTTGTGTTTCCAGTATTTCTAAAGTACGTAGTGATTGATAATATTGTTTATTAGAAGCCTGCTGACAGAATTTTATATAGCATTCCAAAGCGGGTAAACATTCCTTCAAGGCTTCTATAGCTGAAGCTAAATTGGATTCTATTTGTCTGGCTTTAACCAAATCATTGCCTTGCTGTATTAGCGCAGCACTAACTAACTGTAACGATTTATCCATTGTTTGTACCTCCTGTGCCAATTGTTGGGCTTGAGTACGTACTTGCAATAATTCTTGTATAGAATCGATGAATCCCTGATAGGAAAGGTTACAAATACGTTCGATTTCTTTATCATGGCTGCGTACACGCATTTCAAGCTGCTCGAAAATTGCATCGGTATTTTCTCCTAAACAATTAGGAAATTTAAAATGTGAAAGAGGGTCAGCATAATTTTATTATACTTACCTTCTAAAATCGAACGAAAGGTGGGACTCCAATAATCATCCACAGCTTCTATATCTTGAATAGTTACATTACCCATTAAATATGCCGGCTTATCCACATTAAAATTACTATAAAAGTTATAAATAATTCACATTAGGTGCCATCAGAAGAAAATAATTGGCAAAAACAACAAAAACTAAATAAATATAAAAATGCAATTTTCATTTTTAGATGGCAAAGAGAAAAAAACCATACAACAACGCGAGCGATTTCTACAATTCCTCTTTGTAGATGATTGCTCTTAAGCTTTACACGTATTAATGTTAACTGTCAGTTTTGGTTATTTCGTTCGAGAAATACGTCAAAGGATTTTTTTTAGGAACTAGCGCTTCTTGTAACGGGAAAAAGATTTTGAGAGCCAATTCAATAGAAACGGTCAATCTGTTGAATCCAGAAGAGAAGAAAAAAAAAAAGTCATGGTATGGTGATAGTCAAAATTTTTGTTTAATGGAATTGGTAAATAAATGGGAAAGGTGTATGTACGTGTTAACAGTCGTGTCATCGTAAATGCATAATGTTACCAATTTATGAACGATTGGATGCACGCAAGCCTCTATTACGAATAAAACTTTCTCACTGTTTTTTTTTTTGTCTCCATTCATACATAAATTCTGCTCGACTTAAAAAAAAATGTATTTGCGTGAAAAAAAAAATATATTTGCACTATTTCGTCAATTTTAGAAAACTGCTGTGATCTTGTATCGACTTGTTTAAAATGGTAGGTATCTAAGATTCAGTCTGAAACTGTTTTTCTTTTATTTTTCCTTTTTTTTTCTTTCAATTAAAATTTAAAAAATTAAATTATAATGAGAGAAATTTGAAAATAATAGATGATAAGTCGTAGAGCAGATTGGAATCTTAAAATTTAATATTTATTGGAGAAAATTGAACGCCTTTTCAACTCCTCAATAAGCAAAGATTTCATTTTCTTTTTTATGTTTTTTATATTTATATCTCTTAATATCTCTTAAAGGCAAGAGAAGAAAGACAATTATTCAGGTCTGAAACAGGAGATTGCACCAATATTAAGAAAGTCCGGGTAAGTGATAAAACTTAATTTGTTCCTGATTTTAAAATGGTTACTTTCAAAATTATTCCCAGCGCAGATACGAATAACTTGTTTGAAGAGTATGGTCTTATAGAAGCAACCGTCAGTAAGGAGCGTTAAGTTTCATCAAAAAATATTGAGGAGTTAGCTACAGAAGATGCCATCGAATGTGGAGCAGAAGAAGTTGAAGTCTCTGATGCCGCTGCAGGGCTTGTTAATGTAAGGCGTTTAGAAGCGAAATCTTCGAATGCTGAGAATACTGATCTTCCATGTTTCTTTTAGTTTATTTGCAGACATGAAGAGTTGCTTTCCTTGCGGAAATCGATTGAAACAAAAAACTATATCATCGAAAATATGGAACACATCTATACGCCCGTGGTACATTCAATTGTCCATATTTTTTTGCTTATTGTTTATTCATTTGTTATATTTAGAAATATGTGGAGTTGCCTTCAGAGGAGCACGCGGGCTATGAAAAGTTTCTTGCCAAGCTTCACCAGATTTCCGGTATAGAAGAGATTTATGACAATTTGTTGGATACAAGAGATTAATAAATTTAACATAAAAAACTAATATGAAAGAAAACAATTATATTATTTTCATTTCATTTTCATATTTGCAACATCGCTAAGATGCTTTAACATAGCTTAATTCTTACAAGATGGTTCGATTAAGGCTAATATTCTCATTTTCATTTAGGCCGTATGCATTATAAAAACACTCATCAGAGTTATCCTTTCATCTGAAATTCACTGATTAATGATGATATTAGAGAAAAAAGTCTTAAGAGTCTTCATAGTGTTTCACTTTATTTCGCTGTTTTTCTAAAAAAAAAAAATAATAAAAAAACAAAAAAACTTAATTTATGTTTACATATAAACATCGGCGCAGGCCGTGTAAATGAGTAAATTTCTTTCGCGATCAAGTAATTCAAAGAGCTTAATATACATATACATAATTACAATATTATTTACAATAATAATAATAATAATACATAGGAATACAAAATAATACGTAATAAATAAAACGCCCCGCTAATACATACATATATATAAAGAAATAAAAATTACTGGTATGCCGGTGTGCTGACATCTGCAAAAGAAAAAATATTGTGATTAATAAATTTTATATATGCAAAGATGATCACAAACTTACAATTGGCCTACGGAAGTATCCCATTCTGCTGAAACGACGAGTGAAGGTGTATGCTTGCTTTTGAATCTAAAATAAAATAAAAAGAAATGAATAAATTATACATAATAATAAGTAACGATAAATGCAAACTTACCTTTAGCATGTAGCGAATCTTCATTTATATGAGGCGGCGACCGGATAGCTGGATTTGACTTTGCGAGCGGACGAGAACGACTTCAAAATGATGATACATTTGCAACTGGTTCTTGGATCCAGTTTTTGTCAATCAGCAGCAAATGTATGATGAAGCCTAGGAGGTTAGTCCGGTGATTTCTTCCATTGGGGCAGGAGCCTTTTTTCTTGAAAAAGTCAAGTTGCTTTAGAATTGTCGCTTGGGTGCGCTTGCCGATGTTGCGTTCAACCATGTGGAACTTCATAATTCCCAAATAGATGCCCAAGGCTTCCAAGAAAACATTGAGTACATCAAGCCTCGGAAATTCGGCTTCCAGATGCTTTTTAGCCAGGATTTCGTCGTGTTCCTGTATTTTGGCGACTAGCATGCCATCAATTTCGGAGCATGCTTCTTCTCTCGTTAGCGTTAGGTCGCTTAGGCATGCTTGGCAGTTTAGCTGCTCACGGATGTATTGGGCTATTCCATAGCCTGTGAGCAGCCTGAAGTATTCCGCCTCGTTAAGGGTTAGACGTTTGGCAGCTACTTTGTACGGCACCCCATTCAAATCATAAGGCAGGAACTCATCTTCGGCCTGGGCTGGTGTCTTATAATTCAGGTTTTTAATGAGCTCGTAATCTTTATCCGTTCTTGATCCGCCTCCCCAAAATTCTAATTGCTGTTTCATTAGTCGGGTGCCCAGTTTCATCACATCTTCCACCGGTCTCGTTTTCTTTCTCCTGCCTGGCGCCATCTTGCAGAAAAATTTCTGCAAGAGGTCTTGGCTAACCCTGTAGGCGTGTATAGTTATGCCAGGGTAAGCCTCCAGCAGGTCGTTCATTATGATGATAAAATTGTTGATGGTGTTCAAGGCAGGCTCAGTTACCTGGTATATTTCGAAGTTAGCCATTAAACAGGTTTTGACTTTCGCCAGCACCGCCTTCTGCCCTTCCCATTGGGCGCTGCATATCTTGCCTGTGTGTACGACTTCGCAGAATTCAGTTAGAGAAGCGATAACTTTGAATGTGCGTAAGTCTTTTTCTGCAGAAATAATTTTTCTCCGCACAGCGACGTTTAAGTTTGCCACTGTTGCGGGAGTTAATAGCTGCATACACCTTTTCATTGATTGTCCAGAAGTGCTGATTAAGCATGCACCTCTTCTCTTCAAGTGATTTGAAGTGCTGAGTTTTCTCGCATGCGCCCTAGTGACGACGGAAGTGTCGAACAGTCTGCTGTTTATCATCAGCCAGTAAAAGCTGTACATTAGATGTATGTAGTCGACCAGATAGTATATTGTATAAATGGTGCCGTCCGCTCGCTTTCTTTTATAAGTTCCGTTTCGAAACTTTCCCAATGTGTGCAGGTTTGCACTGCTCCTGTCGCAGACTAGTGCTTTCACTTCCAGGCCGGCCTCTTCTACGATACCTAAGCATCTGTCTAGTTCGTGTGGAACTCCGTTGTAGGCAGTTATGGCGGTGGCGCTGATCAATATGTTGAAGCTTGTCAGCAGGCTACGTACAGCGAAGAAGAGTACTGTATGGTACTCTTCCGTTGTTGTAATTTTTCCGCTGTTGTTGTAGCCGCAACCGTACAATACATCCTCGGTCCGAGAATATCTCATCTTGCCGCTGGTGTGCACTTCGTCGAAGTGTAGCTGAACAATTTTGTCGTGAGGACTTAACCTCCCTACGACCTCCCGCAGCGCCTCGATATCCACTGTCAATTTCAGTTCCCGGTCTTCAGCTAGTTCAACAATTTCACTATTCTCCGCCTGCGCCTCCACATTTGCTGCGTTATCAGCTTCTTGCACTTTGTGGCCACTTCCATTTTGGTCTGCAGTGGGAGCAAGGCGTCTCATCTTTTCCCTCCGCGCTGCTTCCGCCGATGTGCTTGGTCCCTCGTCGTATATCCGTGAACGGTTTCTGATATTATATCTACGCCTATTGGGGCTTCTTACGGCTAATGTTGATCTCTGAGTGTCCTGATCTGTCCGTTCCTCCGTCTGTATATTCATTTGTTCGTCCGTCTGTACGTCCATTTGTACGTCAGTCTGTACGTTCGTACGTTTTTTAATTTGTTCTGTCTGAATTTCATCAAAACCCAAGAATATAGAGTGACTGCACTCAGAAATGTTGTCAATCATGTCGATTGGCTCAGATATTTCTGGTTCAATCATGGCGATTGGCTCAGATATTTCTATCGGTTCTAGCTGGTATTTTAGTATGTCATTCGAAATTCTATTAGCAGCATGCTGCAAACCTAACTCTATCACGTACCACAAGTACGCGACCAGTCTCGTGCGTCGCCTCCCCTTTGGATTTTTGTTAAGGCGCTTGAGACTTTCCCTAATTATCTTATATTTTAAGCAGACATCTTCCACCGTTATTGTCGTGTTTGTTGTAACCGTTAACTCGTCGGCTAACATCTTCCCATCTTTTTGCCAATTTACATATTTGTTGTTTAAACCCCAGAACTGCGGATATTTTTTTAAAGTCTGACTAAATATGACATCAGAGATAACCATTTTTATAAATATAAAATTTAAGTATAATAATAATAATAAGAATAGTCTAAATAATAGAAAAGGATCCTGCAAAGAAGAAAAAAAAAATAACATTTTATAAATTCTTGCTATTCTATTATTATTATTATTTAGATTATATGCAATTTTTGTCCACAAAAATTGAAAATATATAAAACCTAAAAATTGTTGTCTTTTCTTAAATGTCTTGGTAATTTAACACTCCATATCCCAAAGCAATCCTTCAATGTAGATCTTTTCACAAGACCATAAAACTACAAATCTTGAAAGTTCTTTAAAAGATATAACGGAAAAAGCAAAAGGAAAGTTGAATTTTGTTATATAACTAATGAAATTTAAATAAATTGAATAAATTCGCCTGAATGGCCAAGTGGGTAAAGGATCTCAACGAAGAACTCAATGGTAGCGAATTGAAATCTCAAGTGGCTTAGAGTTTTCAATAAAATCTTAAATAAAACCTTAGATGCTAGTGCTTGAGAACTGTAGTCTTCGAATTTATTTCTCTACATAAATTAATAATAATAATAATAATGATAACAAAAAATAAATATGCCCCTGTCTAACTAACGAAGCAACACTCTTTTTTTACAAATTCGGTTTTCAAGATTCAAGATTCCGCTTTGCTTCAAGATTGATTCATGTTTATCAATGCTGTTATGTGTTTTTGCTGAGGCAAATGATAGCAGGGTGACGTTGAAAAATTAACAAAACCCTTGCAAAAGCTAAACCAAATTTTAAAATACAAATATCAATAAAAAAATACTTTGTGTTGCGAAACAAAATTATTATTGATGAAGAGCAATTACTTAGGCTTATCTCGTTCTAATATAAAAAACAAAGCTTACTGAGTGCAAATAAGAAAGGCAAAACGAATGAATGACGCTTGGCGAAATGGCGCTAATGTCAATTGCCATGATTGAAAATCTCTATGTTTCCGTTTGGAAGAAAATATTCCTTTGCGGAGGAAAGAATACTTCTAGTTTTTATATCAACATCTTCCAATTTCTGTCAACCAATAACGTACTCAGTAATGTACGATTTCCGACCAATGTTTAGATAGAGAGCCTATTGCATTGCCCTAAATAATGCCACGAGCAAGATGCAAACAAATTGTTAAGATTACCTTAGAGGAGACCAGGGCAGTAGTAAAGCAGATTATGGCAGATGCAATGCATTTCAATTCTTCGCTAGCAGTTATATAAAAGTAATAATAATTTGAGAAAAAAAAACCCAATTCACTGACAATAAAAACTGTAATGTGTTGCTTAAATGCAATCACACCACACACAAGTGATAATATAGTGTTTTAACCCTGAAACTAATAGGTGATGAGCGCAAATTAACAAGAAAAAAAAAAAAGAAAACAACGACCTTATTTTTTTAAATTCAAATTATTAAATTCTTATTTTTTACATCTTTTTACAATAACTTCAAATTATAATTAATAATTTCAAATTATAACTAAATTAAATAATTATAAATATGAATTTTAAATTAATAACTAAATGATTTTAGCTGCGTCTTTTGCTTTTGTTTTTATTATTTTTTTTCTTTTCTTTTTTTCACGTTCCCTTTAAAGCAAACGATTTAGAGTCTAATTCTAAAAAGGCTTGTTACATGTATAAACTAAATAATAATTCAAGTCATCCTTAGGAACACGATCGCCGACTTTTAGCAAACCTTTACATAGAAATATAAATATCGTGCAGAAGATGAACGAAGCCTGCAACAACCAACTAAAAATTGCTCAAAAATGGAAGCCATATTGACAGATACTTCGACTATCGCGGTGCTATTTGATTTCTACAAAAGCGATGAACAAGAACAAGATTTCATCATGACAAACCCTTAGGAAAATTGAATAATAGCGAATTCTCAATAGCGATAAACGCAAGGAAATTCCAATTGTTACATACAATTTTCACTTTAGTATATTTTACTTTTTATTTAATAATAATTTTTCTTTCTTGAAAAAATTTCACGCACTTGTTGGTTTGTCAAATGGCTTTGGTTTGTCAAATGGTTAATGCACCAACAAAAATGAACAAGTATGTACCAGTGCGCCGCCATACTTGTACATACTTGTTGTTGTTGTTATATTAGTCATTTTTATCTTATTTATTATAAAATATCATATTATAAAACATCATATTATGGAAATTCCCATTTTTTTTCCATCAACGAGCAGAATAGTTTTCTGCACATAACGGTCACATTTCATTTTCAATGGCTCATAAGAGAACAACACACGCATATAATTTACGAGTGCATACAAGTATGGCGGCGCACTTGTACATACTCGTTGTTGTATGCCGCCAATATGAAAAATTTTGCAAAATGTAATACTTACTTGTCAATGTTTTTATTTTTTGGTATGTTGAAACAGAGATGGACTAAGCCAATAGATTTGTG